ATTGAAAGTGAAAGCGGAGCTACTTAAGACTGTTGAATGGATATAATTTTGAGGAAATGTCTATTCAAAAAGGGATAATTGAAAGTGTTAGCGGAGCTAGTAGGATTGTTGAATAGATAGAATTTTGGGTTAAGTTCTATTTAAAATAAGGATAATTGAAAATGTTAGCGGAGCTACTTGAGACTGTTGAATAGATGGATTTTTGGGGAAATTCCTATTTGAAATGAAGATAATTGAAAATGTTAGCGGAGCTACTAGAGACTGTTGAACGGTTTGTGAATTGTTTGGACAACGTTTTGTATGTGCCAAGATATATGCAAACGTTTTGATAATTTTCTCTTCCATTTTTTATTTCAGTGGTCTAGTCCACACAAATTTCGAAAAACAATCTATGACGACTAGAATCAGTTTGAAATTTCGATTTTGGTGAGCAAACGATTTCATTTCAGCCAAGTCCATCTGCCATAAGTCATCTGAAAAAACATGGAATGAATCACTACAATACGTACGGCATCACTAAGGCTTCTATGGCTGAACGTACCATCAGACCGTTGAAAGAAAGACTTTTCAAATATTTTAGTCTGAATGGCACCTACAAATGGTTGAATGTCTTGCCTGAAATCACGAAATACTACTTCGAAAATCACCAAAACCAACGAAAAACAAATTCTCAAATCAACATACACCCATCTGAAAATGGCTGGACCGAGAAAATTCAAAGTCGGTGATGTTGTACGAATCAGTAAGGTGAAACACGTTTTCGAAAGAAGCTATACGCTCAATTGGACTACGGAATTATTCAAAATAATCAAAATCAACATTTCCAACCCCGCCACCTTTATGCTAGAAGATATGCAGGATGCACCTATTAGGGGTGCTTTCTATGGGGGAAAATTACAGAAAACTGCAAATCCTGATATATATCTCGNGTAGCTTGAATTCATTAATTAACCTTTCTCGATTATATATATATATAGCTATAATATTTATGATTTTCATATTTTATTTCATTTTCGTAATTGATTTATCAATGTATGAAATTTTATGGCCATATGGCTTCCCTGAGCCCTGCCTCTTTTGAATTTTATACACATACTTGTAATTTATGGAATAAATAAATAAATAATAAATAAATCCATAAACTACACCTAACGATTTGATCATCGCAAACTTCATTTTAAAAAATATCTCGTTTTACTATTCATTACAAAAAAGCTACTATAGCGAAACATTCGAGGTACGAAAATAAGGTTTGTGAAGATCAAATCATTAGGTGTAGTTTGTGGAAACATCTTTCAAATCTATAGTTTTTTATATCAATCTAAGTTAAAAACAAAAGACCTGATTTGAATAAATCAAAGATAAATTCACATGTATGAAACTGATATTTATATAATGATGCATCATGATGCAAATGTTATCTTTCCATTCTACCAGTATTTTGATTGTCTAATTTGAGCGGTTATTGTGACTCAATTATAACAGATATATAATCTCAGTGACATATCTACAACTAACATAAAAAATCGAATCTTTTCATCTTTATAATATTAATTTAGAAGTTTAGAGATTTGGAAGATATAAAACTAAAATGTTTTTTTACCAGCAATTATTCAATTTGACAAAGTTGACATACTCACCTCTATTAATCGGTGTAGACTATGTAATCTGGGTCAGCTACCTCAACTTGTACAAATGGGGGTTGTATCATCTGTAAACTATTGGATGTGCGTTGCATATTATTCCTGGATCTAAAAAAAAAATCAATTAGTGTCAACATTTGAAAGGGTGACATTTGCGGGCTCACTTACTTTGCTTTTGCATGTGTTAAAATATGACTCTTGAGGTTGGTAGATTGGGCAAATTTTTTATTGCACCCATCAAAGGGACATACATATGGTCGATCACCTGTGTGTATTCTCACATGAGTCCTGAAAAAAACCTTGCTACAAATTTTTCAACAAAAAAGATATGATAAAACATGCTAGAATTTAATGTGATCTGAGCTTCTGGAGGTTGTCTGTATTTATACAGGCTAGAGGTTGTCTGTATTTATACAGGATAGTATATTGGGCATTTACATCTAGTATAAACATCGTTATTGTGTCTGATGCAACAGTGTCATCATAAATAATCATTGAAAATAGTTGTAATTACTGTAAACAAATTGAAAGAAAACGTCTGAATGTGTGACAACGGTTAAAACCCAAAACGACTGTTATTTTTTTTATTTAAATTTTTCAATTCTCTCAAATTTTTTTTGTTTTTTTAAAGACAAAACACAAGCACTAGAGGAAAATCCTTAAGGCGCTCTAAGAGTAGTCCTTGTGCGAAAGTAGTGATTCACATTGGAAAAACGTTCTCAGGAAGTTTATTCCACATACACGCAGTTCTCCAAATGGAAGAGTTCTTGAACAGTGAAGTTAGAGGTGTACTGAGTTGAACCTCAGCCACAGTCCGTCACGTATTTCTGATATGCACCGCTCTTGTAGATGTAGATGCTGGTACCATCCGGCTTCTCCCGGTTAGATACCGTCGCAACGGCTTAGGCAGCGTTAGGTTGCTTTCGAGTTAACGTTTCGTTGCTGAGCCGCTGTTTTCGGTTTCAAGGGTGGGAATATAAAGAAAAATTGCACGATGGCGCTCCTAGGGTCAAAATACTCCGGAGGTGAAATAGTTCCCCAATCGAATCTACGGGTGGGGGCTGATTCGAGGGCATCATCCTGCAGAAGTTATTCGAAAACCACTATTTCTGACAGTCCACAGGGTCTTCCTAACATCAGTCCACAGGGAAATAGCATGGTAACTGGGGTTGCTAAGAGGCCAACTAGTAACTTCAAAATCGGTTTCTGCAACATCTGAGAACTCAACTCAAATATAAACTCAGTGCACTAATGTCTGCAAAAAAATAGTCTTCATATTCTTGCACTCACAGAAACTAAAATCAGTGTTCAACAAACTCCATCAATTTCCTATATCCCGGTTATGATTTCCATTCCCGATTCAGATGTAACTTTGAAATATATCTTTTTATCAGAAGCGATCTCGCCTGTCAACAAATTTGAACACTCTCAAATTTTTATATTGTTCATTAGTTATATCATTATTGAAGTATGCTTCAATAATCGGGTGCCCATATTATGAGATACAGAAAAACCAAATTGAAGCTGTACAAAATACTTTCCTGAGGATCTGTGCATACAAGTTAGGTCTAAGAAGGGGAGAATACTCATACAACATAAGAGATCAAATGAATCTATTATTTTTGAAGAATAGAAGAATTATTCTATATGTATGTTTTTTAAACAAAATTTTAACTGGCAACATAAACTGTGAGATTTTATCTTTAGTTAATTTGAATGTCAACAGACAGACCAGAGTCAGTACCGAAACATTCAAAGTACCGTTCAACTCCACAAATTACGGTTTTTTTCTCTCCTGTCACTTGAATGCTGAGAAATGGTAATACATATCAACAGATTGATATCTTCAACAGTTCCACAAATACCAACAAAACTGAAATAAGTCGCATTATATCCTGAAACATTTCCTTCAATTATTCTGTACTATTTCATCATTATATTGTACCACTATTTTGTAGTGTGATTTTCCTACTATATTTGTGCTATGTATATATTATCTTTAGATTTTACAAACTTTTTTTTTTATAACAAAATTGTACTGTGATTTTATCACTATATTATTGTATTGCGTTTTACATCGTATTATGTATTTATTATCTTTAATTTAGTTTAAGATTTTACAACTTTTTTTATAACAAATTGTAATTGGGACTACCCGTTGAATAAATTAAATTAATAAATACATTCACATGCTGCGTTTATCGACCACCAAGCGATACACAATATAGGGCACTATTCTCTTCACTTGCAAATACCATTGACTTTCTGCAAATCAATCATCCCACTGCCGCAATTTCCATATTCGGTGACTTCAATGTCCACAATATCGAATGGCTCAAATTTTCAAATATCAACGACGAACAAGGCTGCGAAGCTGTGGCTTTTGCAATAAGCCGCGGACTTACTCAGATTGTAAATGAGCAATATAGTAGATTCTTGTTTTTTCCAATTAGTCGTTGATATACAATAGAAAGAGGGTTGGAGACAATATTAGATCCCTGGGGAACACCAGCGTTGATGGTAAAAGAATTCGAGAGATATCCGTCGACGGCCACTTGCAGGGAACGTCATTTCAGGAAGGTGAAGAGCCATACACAAAAATGATCCGACAAGCCATAGCTTCAAAGTTTGACCAGCAAACCCTCACACGGTCAAAGGCCTTAGAAACATCAAACGCTACAGCTCTTGACTCTTCATGTTTCCCGATTGCATTATTTCAAATATGGGTGACATACGATAGGTAGTCTATTGATCTTTGTTTCGGAAAGCATTATTGATGATCGCTCAAGATGTTGAAGCCTTCCAAATATTTAAGGATATGGTGGTTTACGGTTTTCTTCATGATTTTTGATCTGCAAAATACTGGTGCGAGTTTATTTGCGCACTTTTTAAGTACGATAAGGGGCACTTCATCAGGACCAGAAGCCTTGTTGATATTGAGCTGTTTCTGAATTCGCCAGATTAGACGTTGTCGAAAAGTAATTTCCGGCATTGTGGATCTAGTGTGGGAATAGTGGGTAGTACCTTTCTCAGAAAATCGACTATAGAGTGGAATGCAAATTGTTCAGCTAGCAGATTTAGTTTTGCTATGACTGTTGTTGCAATTGAACCATCCACTTGTGTCAGTGGTGGAATAGTGGATTTTGTAAAGTTTTGATTAACAGCTATAGCTACCGACCAGAAGGATCTAGACCCGTTGGGATTGGCAAGCAGTTTATCCCTAACTCTGATTGTGAAGTTCTTTGCTTTTATTTATCCTAAGTTTGCAGCCGTTGCGAGCATTAACAAACCTAGTTCGGTTTTAGGCACTGGGATTTTTGCGCCACTGCAGGTAGGCGAAATTTTTGGAGGCGACAGCTTGCTCGCAATCTTTGTTGAACCAAGGTTTGCCGTTAGAAGTTAGTTTCATTGAAAAAGGAATATATGCAACCATGGATGATAGAATAATTTGCATATTATTAAATTGATGGATGTAGCCGTTACTACGTGGTAGGAGATCATCATGAAAAATGAGTTCATTGTATTCGTTTGAAAATGAAAATATTTTTCTATAGTGTACTTATGAATTTCATAAGTTGGTGACCAAACACAGCTACAATATTCTGTAATCGATCTAACCAAAGCGAAATACAATAACTAGATAGAATTAATGTTGATGAAGTCTTTTGTAGTCCTGCATACAAAGCCTAACATTTTCATTGCTTTGCTAGAGATCTGTTCATACTGCAGGTGAAAATCCAATATAAACATGAAGTATAAGATGTGAAGTTTAAGTGTATAAAATATAAATGATTAAAATGAAATATAAACTATATATACATACATATGCAGAGGTTACTTGACAAGAACTTGGACAACGAATAAAAATATTATGTTTCACACACAGTACAATCACAGTTTCATCACATTCTAAATTACAGAGCATCGTCAAAATATTCTTGTAGGTCATAATAGGCTTTATCACCTAATAGTTTTGTACATTTCTTTCTGAATATGATGAAAGGAGTCTCTTTAATTTCATTGGGAAGTTTATTGTATATTCTGATTCCATTATATATCAACGAGTTTTGAACCAAACATGTTTTTGGAATTGGTAGACACAGTTCATTTGACCGCCTTGTGTGGTATGTGGCTGTAGCTGTAGATTCAGATTTTTATGTATAATTGACACGGTTTCCAATATAAATATTGAAATAACCGTAAGGATTCTATATTCTCGAAAAAGGGGTTTACAGGAATCCCACCATTTCGCTTTACATAAGTACCTGATAGCCCTTTTCTGCAAGACAAAAACCGACTGCATAAGTTGTTTACTGTAAACACCCCAAAAGGGTATACCACACCTTAGATGAGAGTCTTTTAAGGCATAATACACTACTTTCGCTGCAGCAAACCCCAGTTCCTTTGAGATGTTTCTCAGTGTGAAACATCCCAATGCCAATTTTTTGTTGATGTGTGCAATATGCTGAGAGAATTTTAAATTTTCATCTAAATAAATTTCTAAAAATTCCAAAGGGGAGTTATTTTTTATTGTGTTATTGTCTAGGGGGATATCAGGTATATTACACTTAAATGCTAATATATTTGTTTTGCTAGTATTCAATGATAGAAGATTCGAGTCAAACCAATTCTTCACTTTTTTCATGTCTTGGCACATTTTGTTATGCAATCTGTTTTTGTCCTTGTCATGCCACACTAATGTGGTGTCGTCAGCAAATAAGGCAAAGCTTTCTGATATAGCCTTGATATAGCTTCACTTGTACTCTTGAAATTCTGAAAGCCATACTGATGTGTACTCAATATTCCATTACTGGTCAAAAATTCCATTATTCTTTTTTTTACCAATTTTTCAATTATTTTTGCTAAGGTTGGGATGAGTGATATAGGCCTAAAGTTTGCTGGATCTTCATTGTTGCCGCCTTTATGGAGAGGAATGACAACTGAGGTTTTGAGAAGTGAAGGAAATGTTCCTTGCTCGAAGAAGTTGTTAATCAGTTCAACAAGTATATTGAGTGCAGTCTCAGGAAGCCTTTCAAGAATTTTAATAGAAATTTCATCAAAGCCAGATGCTTTCTTATTTTTTATGTTTCCTATCATTTCTTTCAATTCATTTATACTGATGTGGTGTAATGAAAAGGTACTGTCTACATAGATATCACTGAGATATTCTAGGGGATCGTGAGTAGGTACAATGTTTTGATTGAGTTTTGTTGCGACGGAGCAGAAATAGCTGTTTAGAAGGACCGGATTCAAGAATGTATCTGTTGTGATTGTATACATATTTTTTCCTCTGAGTTCGTTGATTATTGACCAGCTTTCCTTAGCTTTGTTGTCAGCTTCCGTGATTCTGTTACTATAGTACAAGTTTTTTGCAGCCCTGATTATCTTTCTATAGACTTTCCTATAATTATTGAAGTAACAGTCAAAAAATAAACTATTAGTAAACTTTCTGATTTGATGAAGGGATCTTATATTTTTAGAAGAAGTTCGTATTCCCTTAGTGATCCAATGTTTCCGTTTCTTTTTGTTAATTTTCTGTTTGAGAAACGCGGTCTCAAAATGTTCAACAAGTATTCTATAGAATACCTCGAACGGTGTCTCTACTAACAACACACTATTCCAATCAGTACATGAGCATAAGTGATGAAACCTATTATAATTTTTTGTAGAGTAGATTCTACCAAGGTGAGATTTTTTCTTGATTTGTGCAATTTGAGTTTTATTCTACTAAATACATGGTCAGATAAATTGGAGGGCATGATTAAACAAGGGACACAGACTTGTTCGAGACTTGTGCAGAAGTAGTCGATCATCGTAGCTGAGTACTGGGATATACCAGTTGGTGAATTGATATAATTGACTAGGCCAAAAGAGTCAAAGATATTTTTAGTCTTTGAGTACAGATTGTGGATTCCTATTTGTAGTCGATATTGAAATCCCCAGCTAGAATAATGTTAGCGTTTAATTGAAATTTTGATAGATGTTCTAATTTTTATCTAGAAATATATGGATGACACTGGTGACCTGTAAATACAATCAATTACTAAATTTATTTTTTTCGATAGCACTATAGATATATTACTAGAGTTTTTTCCCAACACCAAATCGTTATTTTTACACCTCGACACGTCTTTCGATCATCAAGTGATCATCTTCAAGAGGAAGATAAAACTAGAAACTACTCAAAACTAAAGCTATTTATGCTATTCAGGTACATCATACAGGTAGGTAATCAGTAATACCACCCATACAAGTGTACCACCCTAAATTAATTTTACAATTGGCCTTTCTATTATTTTACAATATGTCCTTATGTATGTTTGAATGTTACAGCTATATATAGAACAATTTTCAGCTATATAAAATTAGTTTCACAATATTGCCTATCTAAATATATTTACAATGTGTCTTTTTGTAGTAATCAGTAAACCCAACAATATTATTTCAACAAGCTATATAGTATGCTATTTGGTATTGGTCCGTTATCGTTATTCATAATATTATTATGTTTACTTATTTCTACACTCTCATAGGCATCTAGTTGCCTGTTGTTGTTAACTTGTCTAACTAATTTTAAAGAACTGAAGTCTATGGACTTCCATAGACATGACATTCCATAGACTTCAGTTCTTTAAGATCAGTTAGACGAGTTAACAACAACAGGCAACTAGATGCCTATGTGAGTGTAGAAATAAGTAAACATAATAACGACATTTCCTGTAATGGATTATGAGCAAATATAGCTGTGCCACCATGTATATAATTGGTCCTACAGTAGTTGGACAGAAGATGGTACCCCGGAATATGGAAAGGTTCATCAGGCTTCAACCAATGCTCTGTCAGAAGGATTAATTGTGAAAAAGCTTGCTGTTCAAATAAGATGTAAAGTTCATCGATTTTGTTGCGAACGGATTGTATGTTGAGGGAAAGAGTTGATATCATGATGTTATCTTTGGAAATCTGGTTTTCAATAAAAAATCTTCACTTTTCTCATTATCAATATTATCCGATTTGTGGTTCGGGTAGATGTCTGATTTTTCTTCATCACTTTTTGTATAAGAACTAACATAGGTCAAGTCCTTTTCAAACGCGTTGATTTCATCATGTTCACCACTATTTGAAGTACATTTTAGTCCTTCCAGCAAGCTCAAAATAGCTTTTCCTAAGAAAAACTTGGCCCCATTCATCAGGTGGATTCCATCTCTACTATAATTGCTCCTTCGCAGTGTGTTATTGCAATCCTGGAAGGATATTAGGTTATTATTTTGGAAGTGAAGTTTCTTGCGGATGAGAAGATTATTCTCATAAATCAGTTGATTCATATTCACATCAAATCTATAAGGTTTCGAGCTGATAATGGTGTGAGTGTTGTTGAGTTTGGAATTAACCAAGTCCAGTAAATTCGTGGAGAGACTTTTTGGCCATATTAATACGTCATTCTTAGTAAACTCCCTTGCAAAGTTGATAGCAGTATATACTAATTCCCTGTCCGAAGCATTTGGTTTTACAATGGATAGGATGAAATATTTTTCTGTTTGTTTAGATAAAGTGTCCCCCAAGCCTTTACCGTGAGCGGACGATACAATTAACATTTTTTTCTTTTTGACTGAATTAGTTGGGATTCTATTAAGTTTGCCTGGGTGAGGTGTTACTTTATTAATTTCCAGTTTCTTCCACTTGGACATCTTTGTAGGAGATGAAGCAATTTCTCTAATGTGGTTTTCTTCTCTGATGTAGTTTTTCCTTGTGCTTTTTAGATGAGTCATTTCATTCTTCAGGTGGAGAATTTCATTACTGTGTGTAATATTGTTCATTTCCAGCGATCTAATCGTGCTAAGCAACTCTGAATTTATTTCTTGGAGGCTTACTAAATCTCAACTGTTTGTGGAGCTCATCTGTTTCATGTCTAATTTTTTCTTCCAGCAATTCATTTCTCTTTTTCATATGATTTATGGCTTTTTGCAATTGAGCTATTAATAGTTCATGTTCTCTCTCTTTATTTAAATACATTTGTTCCGTTTCATAGACTTCATTCTCAAAATCCTGGGTTAATTTTCTAGCACACATATAAACAGCTTCTTTTTCTTCAGAATCTTTCTCTAATTCATCTATCCTATTCATTAATTCATTAATTTTTTCAAGTTTCTCATCTTCTATTTGGTTTATAGTCTCATCTCGTTGGATTATATCTTTCTTCAATTTTTTAATATCATTTACTAGGGTGTCTGCATTTTTTCCCTTTCTGAATCCTTCAGCTCGCATTTTAGGGAACAGTATATTTTGAACCCACCAAGTTCTTTATGATTATTTTTCCAATCCAAACAACTTGGGTGAAAGATGTCTAACATATAATGCAAAAAAGGTTTTCAAAGTCTTTCTTGCAGCACTTGAATTTACGCTCCATTTGTGTAAATTTGTACGCCACGGGCAGGTGTTTAAAATTACTTTGAAGTCAATAAAAATCTATACTATGTCCGCACTTTTTATGGACAATAAATACTCACTTATCAGCGTTTTTTCTATACACAAATTCACCTTTAGTTTTGCTTTCCTTTATAAGAGCTTCAATAACTTCATTTGGTAGGCCTCTGGTTCCCACTTGTCTTGCCAGATGTGGTAATTTATGTTAATTGCAGGCCCTTTTATGGTTCATTCACAGAATATCTGAACTTTTTAGACCCAATATATATCAATTTTAGATATTATTCATTTTCATCAACTCAGGACCCGAAACTGATTTTATTTTTCACAAAAAATATTCGCGGCACTTTTACTGTCACCCTGATGTAAAATTTGAAATTTTCTATCGACAAAAAACCACACTAAAACTCTAGTTTCTGACGGAACTCTATCGACGCACGTGCGTACGTAATATTACATTTCAACTTACCTAATTTAGCGTTTGTACATTTTTTATTTTACATTTCATTTTTTTTTCAATTTTTTTCTCATTTTTGACGTAATTTCTGTTTTAACTAACTCATCTGAATATTTCGGTAACGTTACTGTTAGTATTTATATTAATTCCAATTTTTAATTAATTTTCGTTTTACTTTTTCTGCAATAGATTTTAAATCTGTTAACTTTTTTTCAAACACTGGAAGTCTAATTCTGTATCATCCTTCTTTCATTCAACAACTTTTTCAAGAATGAAGACTGAGAAGTTGATTTAATAGAATTACTGTCGAAACAAGAAGTTAGGTTTAATAACATCGGATTTCAATCCCAGATGTATAAACCTCTGAAGAAGCTAGCCACTCGCGCTAGTGAAACGTCAGGAAGAATTTCCAAAAATTCACGGCCTTCAAATCTGAAAAATAGTGACACTTAATAACAACTGTCACTGTCAAACAAAGTCTATTGCCTATTTGTCATACAGTATGCTATTAATAAATAAAGATTATCAAGAACAATCTGAGTGGTCTGTTAATTTTGTCCAGGAGTTTGTAAGTGACAAAAGGGAAAGTAAACGACAACAAAAAAGTAATATGTTTAACAACTATTTCTTGAATGTATCCAGTTCCTGCCCAAAATCCAAGTTAGACATGAGACACAGATGAAACTAGCTAGTTTCTTTCTTATAATACCTACAACACCTTTGAAAGTTAATTTTTTTTGAAAAAACAATACTTTCAAAGCAACAGAAGATCTGGATGAAATCAACAGTAAATGTTAAGCAAAGTCAGTCACTTGGTTTCAGATCCTACTTAGTAAATAAATCTTTGAATGAGCTGTAATTGATGGCAAATCTTTGTGGTTTACAGCCTCCATATTTGAAAATGAGACAAAATCAGTGATAAAAGTTGAAACCTCCCAATCTGACAAATAATCACAAGAGAGTATTCTAGATATTATTTTACACTTAATAGTTACCTAAGATTGAAATCTAAACTGAATCTCTTTCCACAGCCTTCGAATGTACATTGGAATGGCTTCTCCCCAGTATGAACTAATTGATGGCGCTTAAGCTTACTAGATTCAACAAATGCCTTTCCACATTCAGCACAGACATGTACTCGAGGACCATGTGTATGTAAGTGCTTCCGCATTGCAGAATTATCACGGAACATCTTATTACAACCCTTATGCGGACAAGCTAAAAAAAAATGCATTACAATATTACAATTTGTAGAACTTTAGAAGATAGTCACCAATTGTTCTATCCACATTATCCTGATTTGGCCTACGTACTCGAGGACTCTTCAGTCCTGGTCTTGCAAATTCAGCCAACTGCTTAGGATCAGATAAATCTAAACCTGGTATTCCGTCTGCAGGAAGTTTTTTACCAGTCATGTATTCTGTATAATCTGGATCTGGTTCAGGATTTGATCCCTCATCTGCAAAATACAACAGGCAAAACTCAAACTTACAATATCTTTTATAATTTTGGGATAGTTGTTAAGTATTACAATTTTACAGTATTAGTGAGATATTTAACAGGATATAATTTGCACGGTCACATTGATAGGTGAAATCCAGAGCTTTATAATTTATCTAGATCAAAATTATTTGATCTTTTATGTTCGAATGCATTTTATTCAATGGATGAGTTTTTGACATTTCCGTCATGATATTATGTTTTTAAAAACTTTTTTTATAAATTGTGTACAGTCCATGAATATGGATGTTATGCTTTTATTTTCATGATGTTTATATCTTTTGAATTGTTCATATTTTTGTTTGTATGTCTGACTAGTCTGACTAATTTTGTAAAGATGGGTTTACATACTTGTGACGCCCAAAGATGCTATTGTATATCGAAACGTGTCTCGGTTTTGTAAATTTTCAAGTGGAAATCTCACATTGGAGTGTGTTTTTTGAATATGTGATACTGGATCATGTAACTTTATTGATGAATAAATATATCCATCTATCTAGTCATTTTACAGGCACAACACATATTCAAATTTCAATACGTTCTACGAAAGTTCAACTTCCAATAATAATTAATAAAAGGAGAAAGTTTAAAATGGAATGATTGTGCATAGATGATATATCTTCATAACATATTTTCATAGAAGGATACTTTCAGTTACTGTAAGAACTGAAATTGAATTGAAAAGAGTTATTTATAAAAACAAAAATGATTTATGAAAGATAATATCTAAGTTCAAAGAAGAATCATTCTATCAAGAAATCTAGAAACAAGGTGAGTTAATTTCAAGGGATGATACTGAGTTATTGGAGGCATATGTAGTTTATTTTCATTGAAATAGATTGATCACATTTTTTGAAAACATTTATAAGTAATGGCAACATGAAGGTTTATGAATTTACCTTCAGTGAGATATCCAACTACTATATATTCTTGTATATGATCAACAAACACAAATGATGCAGGATTCAGATAACCTTCTTGTGATTCCATTATCAATCACATATTTATCGAAATCCCGATTTGTGCATTCAGCTACACTGTTAGCACTTTGAAGACATTGATTTGTCAGAAAAATTTTCATAGTCATTCTTGAATTCCTTGAAGTAGTTCAAAACTTAATTTTTCTGTTTGAGAAAATATACTCTGATGTAACAACTATATTCATTGATAAAAGTTACAAAATATCGACTTCTACCATGTGCGATGTGCTCTATTTCAAGCAGATCCAAATTCTTATAATCTTATCTAGATTGAAAAGGTTAACTCGATAACTTTCCTTTGAGACAGATTTCTCAATTACCAAGTACCTCCGAAATATTGAATTAAAGCCCTATCAAACTCTTGTTTCTGACAGCTTTTTTTAGATATTGTTCACTTATATGCCCCGATTTCATGAGACGAAGTTTGATCTTAGAATTTTCAAAATCGATACTTTGGGACAACTTGACTTTTCCACATTTTTTGAGCTAATATAGTAAAGCCCATTGGAGCTGGTAGCTCGCAATACAGTATTGCATAGTGTAGTGCACAATCTTTCATCACAATCAACTCTTGATAATAGCAGCTATGCAGCCCAAGCAATAGTTGATAGTTTTTCTTTTCAAAATTTTTTCAATTGAATGACTGTTACGGTGTAATGTTAGATCTGATTTTTGCGAACGACCCACACAACTGTACTGTAGACTTATGTAATGACTGCTCATCACCCAGCATTAATAATGACTCTATCAATAGTGAATAGTCATTGAATTATTATTTAGCGGGTATTGACTGGGAATATCATTTGAAAAATATAACAGATATAAATGCGGCTACAAACATTTTTTATAATTTTTTGTATGAGGGTATATGTAACTTTATACCTTATGTTAGGCAAACCAAGTCAAAACTTCCCCGTTGGTTCGACAATGATTTGAAGAAACTCATTATTGAAAAGAAAAAAGCTCATAAAGCCTATAAACTTAGTAAATCTTGGAATGACATCATTCATAAAACACTTTTGGAATTTTGTAAACAACAAACAGGAAAATTATGGCTTTCCTGATACTATGTACTGCGGGGATAATATTTATAAGAATGGAAATGACATTATTAATGCATTTGCAGACCAGTTTCAATCTGTTTATAGACCACATAAAGATAATGAAATACCAATATTAAGTTATGGGAAAACAATTGATATGAATAATGGTAGTTTACTTAGAAATTATCCTACGAGGGTCCGGGACCAGATGGCATTTCACCGATGCTACTGAAAACCTGTAGATTTATACTAGCTAAACCATTGATCTTATTATTTTCAGCTTCACTTAGTTTGGGAAAATTCCCCCTCATTTGGAAATCAAGTTATATACCTACCGCCAATTTTCAAGTCTGGTAACAAAGCTGACATAAATAATTTTCGACTGATCAGCATATTAAGTATAATACCCAAACTACTTGAACACATCGTTTGTGATAATATAAAGATTCCTTTAAAACAAGTGATTATCAACAAACGGCACATATTTAGTGAAGGTAAATCTACCAATACTAATATACTGTTGTATACCCAGTATATTTTAAATGCTCTGGGAAATAAACAACAAGTAGACGTAATTTACACCGATTTTTCAAAAGCTCTTGACATCGTGAACCATAAAGTTCTTTGTGAAAAATTAAAGGCAATTGGCTTTTTTGGAAGGTTGTTGGACTGGTAAGTTATCTTTGCGATAGATCACAGTTTGTGAAAATTAAAGGATTTATCTCTCACGAGATATGTTACCTCAGGAGTTTCTCAAGGGAGTCACTTGGGACATTTTCTCTTTAATATCTTTGTAAATGATATCAAAGAAAAAATTACTCACTGTAAAATACTGATGTTTGCAGACAATCTAAAAATGTTTAGAGCACTAGGATTGTGCGAAAACTCAAATGGACCTTAAATCTCTTTCTGATTGGTGTAAGATGAATTATATGGATGTCAATGTGTCAAAATGAAAAAGTATTTCCTTTTCAAAGTCATTAAACCTTTATACACCTGGTTATAATATTGCAGGGAAGAAGTTGGAATGTGTACAATCTATACGAGATCTGGGTGTTATATGATGGATGACAAGATGGACTTTCATTTACAGTATGAACACATATCTAACAAAGAGATGAAAATGTTAGGATTCATATGTAGATCAACTAAAGATTTAACCAACATTTTTTCTATCAAAATACTATACTTTGCATTGGTTAGATCAGTGATTGAGTATTGAACTTGTATCTGGTCTCCAACTTACTTCAACCATAGTTATGATATTGAGAAAGTTCAGAATAAATTTATTATGTTGCCTACAAAATGAACATGCCAGCTAGAAGTCATTCGCTCTTTGAAATTCGCTCTACTACTGGATTTCTCAAACTCAGTATAAGAAATGCATATGCAGACATAATATTCCTACACAAATTGTTGAACAACGAAATTGATTGCCTAACTCTTCTCTGTCAAGTCAATCTGCATGTTCCCCCGAGGAGGAAACGTACCAACCAAACTTTCAATCTCGACTTTCATAGGTGTAATTATGGAAAACCTTCTCCTTTGTCCAGGATTCTATCAAATGCCTATGAGACCAATATTGATTTTTTTCACATCTCTCAGATCACTCTTAGATATACTCTTACGTGGTATAGATTTGTAAGACTATTTTTTATCACAATTTCATTTTAATTTTCTTTATGTAGGTTCATTTATTAGATATATAGATAGTAGAATAGTTAACTTTCTAAGGTTAATATATTGTATGAAAACTGGGGGTTACCCGTTGAATAAATAAATAAATAAAAAGTAACTCTGATGCCCTCATTTGTGATTTTTCTAACTTCCGAACAAAGAGGGGGGTTTGAGGAAGGTTCACCACTTTGACTAGTTCAAATTGTGCTTTCATCAAGCCTATATCTTAGACAGCAGTTGTTCTTCTGAAGCCAGTTTTAGTATGCCTTGGTTAGACTTTGTGAGGTCGAAGAAGTATTCTTCATTGTAAGCACATGTGTGAGGTGTTTCCGGAATCCAAACACCACAAAAAATGTTCATTTTGTACTGATGTTAATGAAGAAAGAAATGCTTCTACTTAACATTATCTTTAAGCACCTTCGACAGTTATGTTTTGGTTTGTTAAATACAGGGCTATTCAAATTCGTTTCTGTACATGGGGATCTCGTAAATGATAAGAGATAGAGTGTCGGTTAAATTGTGGCAAAGTTGTGTATTTTAGAGACCTATTCAATGATGTAAAGAAATCTAACATAGCTCTTTTGGTTGTGGAGCTATACAGGAAAAACCAAAAAATCCCAAATTATTTTTTTGACTATATCGCAGAAATGTTGAAAATCTGTCCACATTTTGCTATTGGCACTTGATGTGGGCTCTCAGAATATATGTAAGAATATTTTATACAGGGTGTCATCTGACTTGGGCCACCCCTATATTTGAATGTTTAAATACGGATCTGTATTTTTTGTTGTAGTTTTTAGATCGTAGACGTTCACTTCATACTGAGAAATTGAATTCAATTTTATATTTCGGGATGTTTCGGAAATAATCGATTATAATTTTGTGAATTATTCCCTTTTAAATTACGGCCCCGGAAATTGGTTGACCGAGTTGAATAAAAACATAATAGCAAATATCACGTCTCCCTATGTATCGTAGAGTTTTTCGAGAGTTTATTTTTTCAGTTTTAGGTACCTATTCATATATTTTCCATTGCTCTGAGCGTTTTCTACAATGAACTTCGAATAAGAAAACCTTTTATGATTATTTGAAACATATCTACATCAAACATATATTATTATATGTATTTTAATAAGCAGCTGAAAAAGAAATGATAGCAATAATAACATCCGAAACGAACACTATAATTGTAATGAAAATTGAAATGAAGTAATTTATATAGGTACCCAAAAAAATTATTGGTGCAATAAATGTTTGAATTGGAGTCCTTCCATTTCGAGACATTTTTAAACTCGGTTTTTCATATTATTTATTGCCCTTAATATACTTTTGCTGCATTGTTGTGAAATCATTCAAAATCCTCAATCTCGAGTCTTCCACATTTTCTATCTCTCTGCCAGCGTAAATCTTATTTTTCAATGTCCCCCATAGAAAATAGTCCAAAATAGTAAGATCTGGTAATCTTGCAGACCATCTTATTGTCCCATTATCTGTCTCGAAATGGAAGGACTCCAATTCGAACATTTATTGCACAATTAATTTTTTTGTGTATATAAATTACTTACTTCATTTCAATTTTCATTATAATTATAGTGTTCGTTTCGGATGTTATTATTGCTATCATTTCTTTTTCTGCTTATTAAAACACATATAATATATTTTTGATGTAGGTATGTTTCAAATAATCATAAAAGGTTTTCTTATTCGAAGTTCATTGTAGAAAACGCACAGAGCAATGAAAAAAATATGAATAGGTACCTAAAGCTGAAAAAAAAAACTCTCGAAAAACTCTACGATACATAGGGATACGTGAAAGTTGCTATTGTGTTTTTATTCACCTCAGTCAATCAATTTCCAGGGCCATAATTTGAAAGGGAATAATTCACACAATTATAATCGAATATTACCTAAAAATCGCAAAATATAAAATTGAATTTAATTTCTCAGTATGAAGTGAACGTCTACGATCCAAAAACTACAACAAAAAATACAGGTCCGTATTTGAAAATTCAAAGATGGGGGTGGCCCAAGTCAGATGACACCCTGTATAAAAGATTCATGGATATATTCTGAGAGCCCACATCAAGTGCCAATAGCAAAATGTGGACAGATTTTCAATATGTCTGCGAATAAGGAAGATATAGGCAAAAAAATAATTTGGGATTTTTTGGTTTTTCCTGTATATCTCCAGAACCAAAAGAGCTATATTCGATTTCTTTACATCATTGAATAGGTCTCTCAAATAAGCAACTTGGCCATAATTTAACCGACACTCTATCTTTTATTGTTTACGAGATCCCCATGTACAGAAACGAATTTGAATAGCCCTGTATATTTGAATTGAACTTGCGATAAAACTGTTTTTTATTTGTGATCGATAAAATGCATTCTCACTAGATTCATTACCTTTTAAGTGAGTTTCAGCTTCCTGATTTTTACTTTAGAATTTTCGGCCTTAGGAAGCTAGAAAATTTCAAAATGGATGACAAAGACTATACAGCATCATTATGCTCAGCAAATCATCATTTATATTGATGTTCATGTCTATGAGTATCAATTGCATCCATGAATTCATGAAATTATTTGGTATTCATTTGTTACCTTGAGACTGTGATTTCTTTCCAGTGACATATTTTCATAAACCATTTCTTATAGGAATAGTTTGAGCTTGGATTACTCTGTCATAGTTGTTTCATATGAGTGGTTCACATCTAAAACTACTTGATGTTGCTACTTGCCACTTCGCAAATTGATTATAACAATAACTATGGTGCAGCCAAGGGCAAGAATGGGCAACACTTGGTAATTTTAGTAGTATCCTTGTAAACACAAGATCTTATAACTGAAACCATAAATGAGCTTCTGGCTTCTGCTCATGGGTATGTTCATTTATATGTCCTTTGGCAACCAAGTGTTGCCTATTCTTGCAATTGGCTACACCACAGAAGGGCCAAGAGCTGAAAACACGACTATATAATAAATATATCAAAAACTAGACAGCAAAGTCACACGGAGTTTCTTGCATAACCCTCGTACAGGGTATTCAATATGTATAGTAGAGATAACGAGTGGAACAGGATCAAATACTAACATATTACCAAATGGTACATTACCAAATGGAGAAGTCAGCCTAATAAAATAAACTTAAGAATAGTAGTGGAGAAAACTACATCTTGGGCAAAGACAAATTACAGCTTTTTGGCACAACAAGGCTTCTATTAATATTATAAGACATACCTCAAATATTTTCTTGTTATTTCTTCGAGTACACACTCACCTACTTTGAAAGCTACATGAGATTTAATTCGAACAAGTGCATTTCAAAGATATTCTACTCTGTCTTTAGACAGTGCACCCAAAACGTTTTTGGGCGGTTTTCGGTAGCAGAGAGCATTTTTGAGTGCAATCCTGGGAAGCAGAATAATAACTTTACTTCAGCCTCAAATATAATTTAATACCTATTATAGATACTTATTGGTTTGAGATAAATCGCCACTTGAAAAGGTAAAGTTGAGAAATATCTTTCAAGAATATGTATGGAAGTTAAAAAGAAATTTTGGGACATTTGGAAATGAATACCAACAATTCAAATTTCCCTCCTAACCTATATAACCTCTTAATATAAATGCGACCTGTTAAAAACTAATTATAACTGGAAAGAATATTCACTTAAAAGGAGTGATTCATCAATTTTACTTAAATTACTATTTGTCAAAAAATGTAAATTATTACATTTCCTTACATTTAAATAAAGAAGAGGGACCTTCGACATGAACGGCAATATCCGCCATGGTTACTTGTCAATCATCACCAATTTTCATCGGCCATTTAAAAGTATGGCAGAATTTGGAGTGATAGCTGTGTCAAACCATAATAAACATAAAGTTTCCTTTAAAATTAATCCAATTTAAACACGTTAAAATTTGATGATTTATAATCAGTGACCTGCGTAACCTTCAACGATGAATCAATTTTCAAGAGAACAAAATATTCATGGTTAAAAAGCAGTGTTTCCATGAAAAGGTGATATTCACTTACCATCACTAGTACCCGAGGCCCACATGGTAACAGAAAACTCTCCTTCCATCGTTTTAATTTGAACTTGTTTTTGTTCCCATTTTCTGGGTTTAGTTTCAACATGCATTTCGCTCAAAAGAATTTCGTTTTCACGACGAGAAAGAATCGCCCGATTTTTGAGGTTTTTTTTCCTTTTAGATGGACCTGGAGAAGATTCGACATATAAGTCAGAAGAATCCGGGACAGGGACATCGTACAAATTCAAGGGATCGCCAGAATCGTCTATTATTTCTTCTTGTGCTTCTAAAATAATATCTCTGCCTTCTAAAGATTGCATTGACATCATAGGTTCGCCACATTCTACGATTGTCTCGCAAGTATCGTTCATATCCACTGGTATAGTCTCAATTTCAACGCATTCTTGTATATCCGGTTGAATTTCCACCTCGCACATGATGTTTTGATGGTCCGCCATAACTATGGCTGCTATTTTGTTTATAAAAGATGGTTGAACAAATATGGCCACTCACAACACAACAATGGCGGACACTACAACTATCAAACATGAGTCAAAGATGCCAGCTGAAATCAAGTTCAAAGAAATGCTATTATTAACGACATACGTCCCAGTATCTATCTCTTTCTTGTTCATATAGTTACTTGATAAGCAAACTAAAATTTTCGTAGTTAATTTTCTGAAAGGTAACCTATTGAGTCGCCATCTAGCAGGCAATAACTCTAAAACTAAGATCCGTACAACAAAATTTCCTTCGGAGTTTTAGGAATCTTCCACATATACGTTACAATTGATTTACATTTTTTGAAGTGAAAGATAAAGTAGATGGTGTATAAACCTATGACGTTTTCAATCACTTTAAAATGTAGCTCGCGAATAAATTTTCTGTAGCCCACTCGAACCCCTATTAATTTATTTTTTAATACACAATTTGAAGGGAAACACTTCTGATCTATGAATGGAAGTAAAGTAAATATCGAATTCAACATCATTGCAACTTGGACACGGACACAGTATAGCTTTCACTGTGACTTGGATGAACAGTGTCGTTTTAGTTATTTGGGGCGTTTTGTGGCGCTCAAATATTCAAAACGTATTCGTCTGTGATTCATTCTGGCATTGCAACGATGACGTCACATCAATTATGATTTGAAACGTATTCATGATGATTCAAAACTAGCGTGAGGTTGGTTTACAAACGGAATTTGTCGTTATGTTACGTCAGTTGTCAGTTTCTGCTTTATTTTGTTGTTGTTGGTTCATATTATAAATAGAAACAAGAATTCTAGTACACTGGTTTAAAAAATGGAGCTGCACTTGTAATATTTATGCAAACATTTGAATGCACCAATCCGATTCTGATAGAGAATAGAGAAAATTGAATAGTTTGTTTTTATTATTGAATTTGACATCTGACACAAATTGAATCATTCCATTCTGGCGCATCTTATTATTAATGACGTAACTACGTATCGTTTTTTGAGTATATGCTCGATTACGATTAAACACCAGCAAACATCGAGCTACTCAGTAGTCTCTCTCTCTCTCTCTAATATTGGTTTTTAATTCCATTCAGGCGCAGTAAGACGTGTCTACTCGTGGAATAAAGAGTACAGAGAACACTTTTAATTCGGACAAGTCGGCGCGCCTTCTGCGGAACAAAAGGAGAACTATCGAAACGGGTCAAATGTAAAATACTATTATTGTCTAAAAATTTATAGTCGGTCAACTACAATGCAAAGTTGTTTATTTGCTTTTTCTCTAATATTGCTGATTATGTTTTTGGCACAGTATTTTTTGATATACTGGTTATAATACAGCATTGTTTCATGTGAATTGCCTCATAAAATTTGAGGGCGTTTTCAAATCACTTTAGTTTTGAATATTGTAATTTTTGTAAAAAGTCAATAACTCATCATCATCTGCCAAATCTTCCTCGCTTTGTAAAATAACTCTATATTCACGACATTTAAATCGGTCTAAACATTTTTTTACTAAGTAACCAGTAAGGTATACTACTGCGCAGGATTTCACTATTGCGGAAAAATCATCTATCATCATCATCTTTACTTGAATTTGAAGACTCCTCCTTCTCCTCCTCGGTGGTCTCTAGAGAACTGTCCTCCTCTACTGTATTAAAAATGTTTTCATCCTCATCCAATGATCCCGGCAACCGTTTGTGTTGAAGAAATCGTGGGACAAAATGTCTGCTGCACAAAAATTTGTTACTTGGGTTCAGACCAGGCAATGTGATGTTGCCTGAAAAAGAAAAAATACTAATTGGTACCTCGATAAAACAATTTGTTTAAGTTTTTATCTTTACAAGATTTTATTTAGTTTCACCTATATCGGTATCTGACTATGTGTCTGTAATCAAATCTTGCAAGTTAAATTTGACACTTTTAATCATTCGATTGATTTGAAATTTGGTAAGTGTAGATAATTCCGATTAAAATGCATTATGAAATTTTTGTTAAATTCTGTTCAAAATTGGTATCTGGGGGGTTTTCAGGGTCAGACATTTCAGTTAGTTTTTTTAGTTCAGTTTTTGAATTTATTGATCTTTTAAATACAAATAAGATAAGTCACATATACACACATACATTATTACTCAAGAATGAATATTATACTGTTTCCCATTTATTTGTGTTTCTCTGGATAAGACAGCTATATATTCGTCAGTAGAATAATCACAATTTGAAATCAATAGATATTTCAGATACTTTTTGAACAAGTATTGATTTATCTTTTTGTCATGAGGAGGTAGAATATTGTATAAGTTGACATCGATAGAGTTTCTATTTGACTTTTTCAGTCTGAATCTATTGGCCCTCAACAAATCACATCCTCTAGTCTCATGATCGTGGAAATCACAATTTCTGTTTAATGTTGAATGTTTTTTATCAATATCTATCAAAAGTTGATATAGATAAATAGAAGGTACTGTCATTATTTTCATCGAAAGGAAATGAGGTCCACAGGAGTCTTAAGAAACATTGAACATTGGCTTGACAAGGAATGCCTCGAGTTGTGCAATATCCCGGAATATAATTTGATTTCTCAGTTCAGTCGTCAAAATAATATGCATGGTGGGGCAGCTATATATTCATGGTTTTACTCATTCATATATATAAATACAATGAAAGTTCTCAAGGTGAGACCGCTAAAATTAGGTTCATACTGTATTGAAAGAGATATAGAAGTTTGTGGTATTGAGCTGTTAGCTACTCACACTGCTATTGTTACACTTTATCGATCTTCTTGTGTTTCTAACTGTGCTATTTTCTTAAGAAAACTTGAAGAACTGTTGATCCATCTACATAATAATTTTTCAAAAATAATCATTTTGGGGGATTTCATGGTACTCTGTCAAACTGTGAAAAACAGCTTCCCAAAAGGGTCTGTTTTGGTGGTCCAATTAGATAAGGGTGACAAGAAGAATCATATATCATTATTCGTTTGCAAAACTTTTACATGAAGATAGTAGATAGTTGTAATATTGATATAAGAAATTTGTTCTGTTCTTCCGTTAAATCAGCTGTCGCCCCCATACGAACAACAACTCTCAGAAGTTGAGAAACTTGTGCGAGCTAAGGACTAACGAGGTCTTACCTTTCAACGTCTGATTCCTAACACGGGGTAGGACCCTTGCAGAATAATAGATCCATCGAAAGTTACTTTACATCAACATATTTTGAAATTGTTGTATTTTGGGAACTGTTGAGGTTTCTTACCTGAATGGATCATCCATTGTTAACATCTTGTGGGATCTTTGACTGGAAAACGGAAAAAACTCAAACTATGGTGATTTCTAGTTGAGACTCCAGGCATATTTATTGCCAGACATCTGGAAATGAAGATAAAATTGTAAAAGAAACAAAAGGCTAACAACTCAATTAGGTAAATTTGCTGATAAAATAATCTCATTATTAATAACATTTTTACCAGTTAGTGCACATATTTTGAAATATAAAAGTATTTTTTGCAAAATGACCAACACCAACTTGAAAATTAGGTCACTTGTTTTACGAGGGTACTAGCCAAAGACCAAAGAAATTAAAATGACAAATTTTAATGTACCTATGATTTTTCACATTAGGTATGTGGAGAGGGTGCCCAGAAGGTGAAGTGTTATATGTCCAAAGATTATTTGGAAAAACAATGGCCACTTGATTTCATTTTGGTGACTGCATCATTTATTCAGGTCGTGAATAAATACCTGTTCACCGTGGTTCTGGCGTTGAATCTGGCCATTATTACGCATTGGCCAAAGACGAAAAAGACTGATTTAAATTTGACGATAGTCGTGTCACTAAGTGTTCTGGCGATGTCTTGAATTTATTGGATTCTCTAGAGATCTTACTCTAGAGATATCCTACATTTTGTTTTATGAAAGAGAGGACATTGGCAAATCAAGATCTTCAGATGATGTGATGCTGCGGGGTTTTCCGGGTTTTCATGCAGCTGAAAAAGCAAATGCGCCACTGGAATTAATGAGCTGCTCGGAGCGCCAATTAATTTTTGTTGTTTCATAATTTCATGATTTGTATTACTTTCTTCTTTAAGATAAATATTGTAGAATAAATAGGTACTCATTATACCAATGAAATATTAAATATACTTGGTCATTGCTCAATAACCATTATCCTATACTCTCTGGAATAAAAAAAGTATAAAGGTGAAAATGAATATGAATCAAAAACTCTCAGTCCTGTTTGCAAAATCGTACTCGAACTAAGCTGGACAAAAGTTAATGATATTCAAAACTAGGTTTAATAATTTACAATGATGAGGAAATAAAAATTGTGAACGCATGTAATACAAATTTATTTCTAGGATCAGAAATTGAAATTACAAATAATACTGATATTATTAATAAAATAATCCATGTTATTCCAAAATGTTTTGTGAGCAATAACCTTAATAGGCTCTGGCTATAAAGAAGTGTTTAAAGAAACAATAAATTTGGAATCCCTACCTTTCATAATTTTGTTAACTTGTTTACAGCAAAAAAATATACAGCATCGTATGATGAATTTACAAACAGTGTCAGCAGAATTATTGTGATGCTTACAATCAATTGGATCAAAGCCGACATTTTGTTTTAAAGTATTCTGTAACTCAACACATGTTTTTCAAATGAAAATATCGACGAATAAGTTATAAAAGATAAGAAAAAAGCTACCAGGTTTAACTGATTGGGAATTTGAGGAATATTTTCTTGCTTGTATGAAGTCAATGTTTTTCAATAGTTCATTGTGAGTTCTCAAATTTTGTGTACAATCAGAGCTAACATATTCTAAAAACACTTTATATTGTGATTTTCACTAGACAGTTTTACAAAAACGTAACACGTGTTTCGCCTCGGGCGTGTCTTAATAAAGAGGAAGCCATTGTATGGCGAAACACGTGTTGCGTTTTTGTAAAACTGTCTAGTGAAAATCACACAATAAAGTGTTTTTAGAATACGTTAGTTATGTATGGATTTAAAGTAAGTAGTAAAGACGTATTTAAACTTATGTTTACATAAGAGATTACATGCAATCACATGAACCATCTCAAGGTAAATATTAAATTTTTCAATGAAGGAACAGTGACAAGACAGTATATTTCTTCTTTGAAAAATAACGCATCTTCTTCAGGACATCTATACATTTTTTTCCAGAATTCTAAATGGGATGAATCCTTCATTACACAGCCTTTCAAGGGTTTTCCACGTGGAGTTAATCTATTGTTAGAATTCAAACTATCAAGTAGTTCATCGAAAAGAAGGATGAGCTCAGCAGTATCATCAGCTTCAGGTGGCAATTGGATGTCGCTTCTATGACATAGTTCAATAGTTTTTGCAAGTGTGGTAGTGAAATCACCGTTTCTGCCATTTGCAACTTCTTTTTGTAGGAGACAACTCGGGATTGTAACCTAGTCAGTCATTTAGTACAATAACTAAGTCTTCTGTACATGAACTGTTCACGGTGAAATAGTTCCTTGATTTTTTTCACATTAATTTCCTGAAAAAGAAATGAAATATAATGTTTTATGAAATAATCATCTTTTCAACCATCAGAGTTTTATACCAGAAAATTCCTTCAACATTTCATGAAGTGCTTCCAATACTCCCCATTGAATTCTGATTGAAGGATTCATAAGGCTCATTCTAGCAGTATTATATTTATCAATTTTTTTTATATCTACATAATTCAGATGAAATATCCTGATGGGATATTATTACTTCGTACTTACATAGATTGAATGTGCATGGCCCTTTGTTCTGTTGATATAAGTGGTACAACTTCTGCAGAATTATCATTATGCTGCCTATAGTTTCAGACATTTCAGCCACTGGTTGAGGATTTAATTTTTTTACAGATTCTTTCAGGGGTTTCAAATCAATTTATATTATTTCAGACAATGGAAGTCCGAACTGATGAAATACACCACGAAACATTGTCAACCAACTTCAAACAAAAGTATTCCATTGGGGCATTATCATTCACCAAATGACTTTGGGGTCTTCGCATTTCACTTGTTTCAGATAAAAACAATATTTTTTGGTTTATGAAAATCATACGAAAGCGTTGAAGGGCCACACAAAAATATTTTTTTCGATTTGTATAATTCTGACTTTCATCTCAGAATTCTGACTTGTAAGTCAGAATTCTGACTTGTATCTCAGAATTCTGACTTGCAAGTCAAAATTCTGACTTGTATCTCAGAATTCTGACTTGCAAGTCAAAATTCTGACTTGTATCTCAGAATTCTGACTTGCAAGACAGAATTCTGACTTGCAAGTCAGAATTCTGACTTGTATTTCAGAATTCTGACTTGTATCTCAGAATTCTGACTTGTATCTCAGAATTCTGACTTGTATCTCAGAATTCTGACTTGTATCTCAGAATTGTGACTTGTAAGTGACTTGTGTGTGCCAGTCTTCACTTACCTACACAGTAGTTTAATGGAGTGAGATCGTCAGAACACAACTACTCCTCTGGCTAATACATTAGAAAGACTTGCTGTAGCATTAAGGTACGTAAATAAATTATAATCGTATATTTTTTAGTGTTTATTGGAGTGAATGTATTCAAATATCAAAATACAAAAATAAAAATCCATTCTTAGAAACTGAAGGTAATAAACTGAAAGGCACACTATTTTCTATGGCATACCATATAATATAAAATGGTACCCTAGTTACATTGTTTCCTTTGTATAGTTACCACTATTGTCAGAATCAGCTGAAGGTGATGGTATAGAAGTAAATATTGGATGTTTAGAATATGGTGGATATGAGCCTGAAGAATGTTGTGCATGTGGTTAGAGAATAGAGCGCGAATGGAATGGCTGACGAATGCTGTGTTTGAGGCTGCAGGTATGGTGACTGATATAAATGGGGCTCGATTGGTGGTTGCGGCATAGTGGCTCGATTTTGTTACTCATAGTGTGTGCATCGATGTGATTGATAAGACAAGACTTGAGCACGCCAAAGCATCTCCGGTTCAACAAACTGATTTCGATTCAGTGGTCTATGAACTGGAAGAACGCAGAAGAAGATCCAGCAACATAATGATGTACAACATCCCTGAATCCAATGCAGCTACAACTAAAGCCAAAATCGATGATGATAATTCTAAAGTCAACGATATATTACATGGCAGGTTTAATTTTAATATGGATCTTAATCATAAGTATTTATGTACACCTTTATAAAAACATATTTGTATATTGGGTGCTGCCCGTTAGTTGAATAAATAAATAAATAAATAAATAAATCAGCTTCCTCATGTAGAGCAGATGTCATCGGGCTGAGATTCAAATTGTGTGGTTCTGCATCGATAACTATACCGAATATTTTGGATTTGACTTCAATTTGCAGTTGTGGAGCGAACGTTTTCACTGTTCCAGCCATGCAATAAAAAAATGTTGTTATTGAGTCTGATGCTTCAGGGTGCTTTATTCTTTGCTTATTTTTGTCGATTAAATAATTTTGTAGCACTGCTGCTGTAGAAAATGCATTTTTATTCTGTTGAGTGTGAGACTTTTGTGTTGATACTTTCAACTTGTTTGGGGCTGCACTGGCGATTCTAGGCTCCGGTCTAGACTCTGGTCTAGACACAGAAGAAATTGGAATGCTTTCGGGACTGATTGTATCATCTGCATCAACGAAACTACTGCCTTCTTCGATGCCTTCATGTTCTGTTTCAGTTTCCGATGATTCGGGTTCATCAACATTACTGATTTGTTTCTGTCTGCTTAGGAAAGGTCGCAAAAATGTCATTTGTTTGTCATATTGCCAACTCTTCTTTTTTGTAGCTGATTTGCCACTTCGAGTTTTCTGACTCTTGATGAATTTTCTATAACCATCTCTCAATGTGCTTCATCTTTTCTTGCATTCAACACCTAAAACAAAATTATATGCTGAAATTTTTACTTGGTTGATTTTTTTCCAGGTTTTTTGTTACGGGAGACACGTTCCGGACAATTGCGTTTAGCTACCGACTTGGAGAAACAACAGTTCGAAATATCGTGTATGGAACCTGTGAGGCTATATGGCAAAAAGGGACACCATTGGTGATGCCTACTCCTTCAGAAGAAACTTGGCTGAGAAATGAACGGGATTTTCAAAGAATTTGGAATTTTCCAAACTGAGTTGCTGCCATTGATGGGAAGCACGTCGTTACTGATAAACCTCCAAATAGTGGATCACTGTATTTCAACTACAAAAAAACCTTCAGTATTGTTTTACTTGAATTTGTAGATGCTCATTGCTGATTCACTGCCGTTGATGTAGTAAGAAATAGCGATGGAGAAATATTTGCAAATTCGGCCATTGGAAAGAAGTTGCACAAGAATATTCTGAATATACCTCCAGACAAGTTTTTACCTGGCACTAATGAAATCTTGCCATATGTTTTTGACGAAGATGAGGCTTTTCCTTGACACAAACATTTAATGCGCCCTTATCCTGATAGCGCAATACTGAATAACAAGGAAATTAAAATATACAACTACAGACTTAGTAGAGCTAGACGAACTTCAGAAAATTGTTTCGGAATTTTACCAAAGAGATTTCGTATTCATCAGAGACACCTGCAAATTATCCCTAAACACCTTGATAAAGTTGTTCTTGCTACATGTTTACACAATTTTGTCCGAAATGATACATGTCATCGGACCGACGCTGCCGACGATAGTCAAGCCCCACAAGGGTTAAGGGATATATCAGGCATAGGAGAAAAATGCAAAAGAAATATTTGACTTTAAGACATAGTGATACACAATTTTTTGTATTCTCTGAGAAAAAAATAAATGAACTATTATCGAGAGTGTATTCCAATCTAGCGGACTCATTATATAAATAAATCAAAATATACAGATATTTACCTGATGGTCTATTCATTTCTCCTGCAATTTCCTCCCATATATTTATTATCTTTGCATTGTTGATTGTGGTAGTTACTGTCACTAAAATCATAAAGATCTTTATATTTTTGGACCAAGCAAATCAATTTTTCCTCGTCCATTTTTATAGGTACCGTCTGACAATGTGCTGTAAACTGATGGACACACACAAAACCTGATGGAAACAAAACAGAGAGACAGAAACTTCCACAAAACAGCTATTTTGTGGAAACTTCCCAGGTACGTTTGGACAAGTTGATGCTGGCAGGCGCTGGCCGGCGACGCGCTCACTTGGCCAGACCGTCACAGCACGTTCCGTTATTTGCCGGTCAGGATCGGAGAGCTGGAATTCTTTCCGGCGACGGACGCTCTTCGCTGTGCCGTGCCGGGCTAGTTGGTGCTGGTCCATTCATTTTCATTGTGCCAATCCTATCCGTATTTTGACGGGACGTGCCGTGGTGTGCTGGACAAGTGGGCGATAAGCTTTAATCTCAAATCATTCATTAGCAGTGGCTCTGCGCTTACGTGTTGGCCGTAGAAACTTCTGCACTGGACCTGGTTCGAGACCGGAGTGTGAGAGAATATTAATTAAAATAACCACTGGACACACTTTGAATAACACCCTTTATTCTCTGTCACATATACTAACTAAACAAGAGCGGTGTCTGTATCCGAGCATGAAGAAACACCGAATGAATTCATAATCTTTCTAACAATATTCCGTTGAATCATCACAAAAACAAAAACCTTTCGATATCGTAATTATAATTCATCGTCTTAGCTTTCCATGACCGGCGGCGGCTCGACGAAATATTCCTCATCGGGTGATCGATTCTTACAATATGTATCAAGTATATCGTAAACGATAGGCGACCCCATGCCTTGTTGTATAGCAATTCGCTTTGGAGCGCCACTACAAATAAAAATAATATCCGTCCTCTACCCGCAGGGACTATGTTTTCGGGTATAATCTACGAATATTTTTATAAAAGAGTATTTATTATTATTACATATCATATAGGATAATTGAACGGAATGAAACGAAACGTCGAGCGTTTATATCCAAAACGGCTATTATATCTATCAAACGCTTGTGCAAAACAATACAATTGTTATAATACTGAAATGACGAGCTACATCTACAACAACAGCTACATCTAAAACAGTTTTTACATCTGTCAGTGGGATGGGCGGAGCGCTATAATACTGAAACATTGAGCGTTTTCATCGAAAATGACTGTTACACACATCTGCCAGACCCTTATGCAAAGCTCAATAAATGAAAACGTTGAACATACACGGCAAATTTCAATTATCAATGAACTATACTCTTTGTCATCACTTTATTGGGGGTATTTAATTTTTATTAAATATGTGATTACAATAAAGACATTTTATATTTTTTTATAATTTTTATCATTGATAATCGTACTTAGAGTTACTTTCTTCGGATATGAATTGTACAGTGACAACCAGGGCCGTAGCGAAAAGAAAAACCAGGGGGGAAGGAATCCAAATTTTCCCAACCCCACCAGCAAAGTTTCCCAACTTTCAAAGTAAGTATAGGAATATTCAATACAAATGAAAGGTAACAACACTTAAATAATATTGTGCTTATTGTTTTCTACTATTATTTTTTCTATCTTCACGGCACTGAATTTCCCAACTTTTTCAAGTCGAATAAACAGCGAAAAGTTGGGAATTTTGTAAAATTGTAACTTCAAAATTTGTGGACTGTTCTCTTACTTGGGAGAAATTGAACTTTTTTGAAGTTTTCAAACAACTCAGAATTTCCAAGTATGCGATCTCCAAGTTATGCATGTTGGGAAATCCCAACCTTCTCCTGGTTCTTTCCCTTTCCTTATTACCTCTCCTTTTCTTTTCTCTCATTTTTTAATTTTTATTCATTTTTTCATTATTATTTTTTTCTATCTTCACTTCCCAACTTTTTCCCAAGTCGAAAAAGCAGGGGGAGAGGCTCCCTCATCCCCCCCATGGCGACGGCCCTGGTGATAACCATCTCATAATGGGTGATCCAAAAATATATCCATGCTATCATCGTCGATATAATTTTAGATCACCCAACGATGTGTTGTGAATTATTGGGTCATCTGTGTTACGATAACAGACTGAACGATTTTCAATATTTCGATACACGTCGGTTTTCAGTTCTTATTCTGCACACCGTCTTGAGGGGTCAGCACGAAAAGAGAGTTGGAACAAACACGCTTACACTCCTTATATAACTGGAGTCAACCTCACTGGTCCAGATCCCACAAGTACTTTTATGACACTATGGTTAGTGTGAAGCTTCTTAAGTACTTTAGTATCTCACTGAACCTTCACTAAATGTTTATAATGATGAAAATTGAACACTATTTAATCATATTATACAACTCAATGAGTAGATAGATCAAATCACATACTTATTATGCTTGTCCTCTTAAGAACTAATAATTTTCAATTCACTCCCAAATATAAGCATTCCTCAAGGCTGTGTTATGTTATTTTTTCATGAATATGATTTATTTTTTAATGATATGTCATTTAATATTATTTAAAATTTATATTCCCTCATCTGCCTAGGGAAATTTTGGCTCGGGAAACTATAGGGAAGGGTCGAGATAATGCGGTATCCGAAATATTGTTCAGAAATATAATTAATTTTTTCTTTAACGAAATCCTCCTCATAGATTATTTTGTGTAGATATGTTTATTCTATTTTTGATTCAAATTCATGAAAAATAATGTTCGATAACTACTGAAGCTCAAACTTCGCCTTTTCCTAATATATGTAAGACAACCTTACTTTGGTTTAAGAATCGCATCAACATCATTGCACTTGTGATGAGGAACTCTACTTGAAGGTTACATAATATTGTGGTCCAAGAGACGGAATAGAGGACGACCTTCATCAATCTGTTTACCGGATTAAACATACTTTTTATAAGGTTTCATAAATAGACGAATACGCCTATAATGAGCCCTATCAGGCTTGCATGGCGAATCCAGCAAATTTGAAAAAAAATACATCAATTTGTAGCTAAATAGTTGCTAATTAGTTGCCAAAACAACGATTTTGTTGCTCGTGCCGATCCCTAGAAATCGCAAATAATGCTATAGTAATATAAAGGTAGCAAGGTAACTCAATAAATTATATACTTTTCCTATGATCTTTACAGAAGATTTAGTTACTATTTAGTTGCTAAACCATAGATATAGCGAAAAAAATTTAAATATATTTTTTTTCTGATCTTGAAACTGGTTTTTCCTGGAATTAAAGATGTTCTGAATTTGTTGCTCACCAAGAGTAAACTTAAATTCACCTTGAGTATCAGCAACAAAATAGTTGAAACCGATCGGCCGATTTTCAAGTTTCATTTTTAAATTTCCTCGTTCTTGCTATCTTGAAACCGCTCTTTCCTTGAATACAGAGTATTCTGAATTTGTTGCTCAACAGGAGAGTTCCCAAGAACACCCGAACTGTTCGGGGGATATTTTTATTTTTTCTTTAATTTTCCTTGAAACTGATTTTTTTCTCGAATGAAAAGAGCTGTAAATTTTTTGCTAAATTGATAGTATTTAAAGATATACATGACGAACCAACAACAAAAGAAGTGGAACCGATGGGCTGATTTTTGCAATTTTTTCTTAATTTTTCTTGCTTTCGTCATCCTGGAACTGACTTCCTCTTGAATTAAAATATTTTTGAGGCTATTGCTGTTGTGGAGAGTACTTATTCATCTTGTAAGAATCTGAAATAAAATAGGAGTTCACCTATTCATTTTTGTAACCACAGTGTTTCCATATAATGAGTACTATGATTCTCAGATGAATAATTTTTAGTTTGAAAAAGCCAATAGGTTTTATACGCACTTTATGTACTGTAACACGAATAAGCTCTCGGCAAGTATTCAATTTAATACAAATTGCCTTTCCATTACTCTTATTTCCATTTAAACTTGTGCATTGTTTAATCAAATAGTTTTTTATTTTTTAACTTCCCGCTAAGAAAATCAAAGATTTTCGAAAAAATATTGAAAATCGGCCGGTCAAGGCCAATTATTTTGTTGCTGGTTCTCGGAGTGTATTTGAGTACCCTCCTGATGAGCAACAAATTTAAAACACTTTTCATTCAAAGAAAAACCAGTTTCAAGATGACAAGAAGAAGGAAACTGAAAAAAATGTAAAATCGGCCGATCGCTATCAACTATTTTGTTGCTGATACTCAAGGTGTATTTGAGTATGCTCCTGGTGAGCATTCAAAATACTCTGTGTTCCAGAAAAAAAACGGTTTCAAGATAGCAAGAACAGGCAAAATTTAAAAAATATTAAAAATCGGCTGATCAAAGCCAACTATTTCGTTGCTGATTTTCGGAGTGTATTTGAGTACCTTCCTGATGTTATTTTGAAACAAGTTTCAACTATTTTGTTGCTGATACTCAAGGTGTATTCAAGTTTACTCGTTGTTTAGGCAACTAATTAGCAACTGTTTAGCTACAGATTGTTGTATTTTTTTTTGCAATTTTGCTGGATTCGCCATGCTAGCCTGATAGGGCTAGGAGCGAGCGCCATCCCAAAAACCGTGATGAATGCAAAAAATGCTAAAAAGAAACTCGAAGAAAATCAACGCCACAATAAAGCTATGGAATGCATTGCCAACTTGTGGTCCTCGGCTGCGAACATGTGCTATTGTAAACTTGGATTCTCAATTGAATGCAGGCACTCATTGGGTAGCTTATACCTTAAAAACGTCAATGCTGTACAATATTTCCATAGCTTCGGTATTCTCAAACCTCCAATGAAACTTATACGATATTTTGGAAAGGGTACAACGATAACATATAACAATGATCAGTTATATATCTTTTTATAATATGTTTTTTTTTCTGTTATTTCGAACATGCATGGTTTTTGTTCTAGATAATACTTACGGTTACTGATTAGAATATGGAACTCTTGTAAATGATACAGTTTCTACTTCATAATGCCTGCAAAAATGCTTAGAGATAAATTTACGTCATCGCCACAAAAATTATGTGTGGCTCTCTGTTGAAAAAACTCACAAAAAGAGAATGTTTCCATTGTAACAATAAATAATAATTATTCAAAAGCTGTTTCAATCATTATTAAAGGATATGTCGTATTGATGTTATATCAGTCATGTCTATAATATTAACGCTAACGAGTCGTTCTTTGACGCTTTCCATCGATTCTATTATTACGAAAACGGTGGCAAGACTGAACGAAAAAGTATCGATATTCTTGCTGGATCTTACGAAATTGATGATATCAAGAATTTGATAAGCAAACATATTGTACCCAAAACATACACCTCATCTACCTTAGAGACAAAATAAACAATATTACGTTGCGAGTGCTCGACCAACATTCTAGTCTCATTAATTTTCACAACGAAGAAATAATAATTCGTTTAGAATTGAAACGAAAGTATGGTACTGGCTATTTATAAGAATAACTAACTCAACACCATACCCTTCGTTAATCTTCACCAAAATCCTTGGTAGTCGACAAACAATGAATCCATACATAAATTAGAATGGCGGACCTACTACCCTTACGTCAAGACTTTTCGCAACAATGATGTCATTGAAATCAACATTAATCAATGAGATGCCTTTGATGCTTTGTACGATAGCCTGCTATTCATCAGCGGAAAAGTTGAGAGGACTACGGAAGATGGTCGGGTGACGTTCGTGAACAATGCTGGTTGTTTCATGTTTCAATCTGGTACTTGTTAGTAGGTACTGTCAGAGGCTTCCTCACCTACACCGATGAAGATATCAAACACTTGGCTATCTAAGGATGGACGTATCACGTATCCCAAGAGGTTCGGCATGATTCCAATATAACGCTCACTCTAGACAGTGAGAATTACCCTAAAGAAAATATGCATCCGAATTTTGCGAAAATGTATTTTTTGCAAGCTTATTTCAACTACACACAATTCGGTTTTAGCTACAAAATTACTAATCAACATAATCCTCTCATCAATACCGGCCCTGACTTTACACAAAAATGTCTCTTTGTCATCAATTGTTCCAGAAGAGACGAAAGCATCAAAAGTTCCAGTGTTGGTGTGAAGCTTGAAATCGAAGCATCTGAAGGATTTCCCCAAAATACACGAGCCTATTGCATCATTGTGCATCACTGTCATCGAGAACCCCCACCAAGCGAAATTATCAAAAAGTGGAACTGAAATTCGAATAACACTCCCTCTCCCACACTTCAGAATTAATTGTGAGGAATGTTAGAACTGTACAGGTTGTCATCATCATGAGAGTTGCATTCGTAGATATTCGGGGATTTATTGTAAATGAACTTTTGATCCATAAAGAATTCACCATTGAAATTGGCTTTAAACGAAGCCATTACATGTTCACGACCGCTTGCCGCATCAAGTAATCAAGACAAGAAAACCGCAACTTATCTGGAGAGAAATATACATGGTATTCGGTACTGTGATGGAGATATCGAATATTTCAGAATAAACGAAATACTTCCCTCCAAGTTGCTGAATGCTGCCGACTACATTTACGTTGGCGGTGAGCAAAACGCAGAATTTTTGTGACAGGAATGTATAACTTTCTGAATTTATCCCATCTGATGTTTGCAAATTTAATGGAACACCTGTACAACTGTATCCTTTGAAAAAGATATGAACCCATTTCACGCTACTCTGGATAATTTTTGTGTACTGAAATGAATGTAGAACGTCTACGACAATGATTTTTAAACAAGATATTGTCTTTGTGATTTGAATGTGTGTGTTTTTGAGTTGCCAATATGCTTCCGACAGCTTCAGATATATTATTCGCTTGTAAAAAAATCGATAAACACATCGATCGCTATAACATATATGCGGAGGTTATAGAAAAATAGACCAATCGGAAAAAGGTAGTGATGAATTCCATAACTACTTCTGAAACGGCTACAACTAAATATGGTGAACATAACAAAGGTTGTGCCTGGTCGAATCCCAATACCAAATGCGGTCCTGATACATGTGAATGCGCATTCATATTTCGATACATATTAGAAGCTAATATGTTACAGTAAACACTATTATTATTATGAATATTACGAAAAAAATGTATATACTTTTTTCTCCATCTACACAATAATTTCCCTTTGATTTAATGTCCTGCACGCCATCTGTGTTTATTTCCTTCGTCAACTCTTGATTAACGTAAACACCTTCATCGCACGTTGAAACGTTAGGCCTCCATCACCGTCGACGTCATTTTAAGTTTACACGCCAACTTAGACAGCTCTTACTGCCCTTCTGACACGTTGAATCGCACGTTGAAACTTAAGGCTCGCCGTCGACGTAATTTTTTTCTACCAACGCTTAATTTTTAAAAACCAGCATCACCTCATAAGTCACATCGCCCACATAAACAATGCTTTATTTTATAACCGACAACACCGAACTGTTTGCGCTACCGCCGTATAGAAGTAAACTTTTATACGGTGGCGCCACCAAACGTTTAGGTGTTTTCTGGCGTTTAATCCACAAACCACTTACTCTAAGTTTGTTGTTTAATCGTATTCGAAAACGATTCGTAGTGACGTCGTTAATTATAAGATTCGCCAGAATGGAATGATTCAATTTGTGTCAGATGTGAAATTCAATAATGAAAATAAACTTCTCAATTTTCTCTAACCTCAATTAGAATCGGATTTGTGTATAGAATAATTTCCCAGCTTTATTTAGTATATCTTTAGAACGCATTTTATAAAAAGGTTTCAGCACTTATAAACTATAACGATCAAAATAAAACAGAAATCGACAATTGACGTAACGCAACGTCAAATTTCGTTACAAAATCAACCTCATGCTAGTTTTGAAACAACATGAATACATCATGATGTCATTTTTGTGGATGAAAATCAGTTTTTCATCAACTTTTTTGGGTACTTTTTACCTTCCATAATCTAAAAAATATAAAAATTATAATGGAGAACTTTATACAAGTGTATAAAGGGCAAACTTCTTAGTTTACTCCGATAAGTTACCGCGTAAAATCAAAGTATTTTTCTATATATCAGTAACTTTTGCCTATCAACAAAATTGATAAGAAATAATACAATACTTATTTTTACGTTCCGGAGGCCAAAATCTGCCTCCGCAGTAACTTACCGGGGTAAACTAAAAAGTTTGCCCTTTATAAAGTTCTTCATTATAATTTATATATTTTTCAGATTGTGGAAGGTAAAAAATACCCAAAAAAAGTTCGATGAAAAATCAAGAATACGTTTCAAATCATAGTTGATGTGACGTCATCGTAACAACGCCAAAATGAATGTATTTGAATCACAGACGAAAACGTTTTGAATACATGAGCGGCAGAAAACGTATTTTTTTGTTATCGTTAAAACGGATCAGTTCGATACCATCTTCATCTCCCTGACACTCATATCACAAATCAGCCCCTCTCACTTTCTTACACACAATCTTATGAAAACCCATCCTCCCCCTCTTACACACATACTTTTATGGAAAAACAAATTTGAGGTTATTGGCTACAGTATTTCTACTGTAGCCAATTGAATTCTTCGGAACTTTTCCCAATTTTTCAAAGGAAATACGAACTCAATTCTTCACCATACCACAGGCTGTGGTATGGAGGTGATAGTAAATGATTTATACCGGTGAATGTTCATTTTTTCTTAATACAACTACAAAAATAATACTCCATAACTTTGAAACAGTTCCATTTGTCTGTTTTACCCTTTTCCATGATTTACTAGTCTAACGCCTCAACATAACAGGAATATTGGGATGTGCATTCCCAAAAATATTTGTCACATGGCAATCCTGAAAACTGTAACACAGTGTTAGCTTCATTCAGTAATGTTTGGTATTTGGTGGTTTGGTCACAGAATGGTAAATTCTGTGGTTTGGTTTTGGTGGCGTTAGAGGAGTCAATATAACAGCAGAAGAAGGGGAACGTGTGACTGTTTATATTTTCCTATAAAATATGTTTAAATTGGGAGGAAAATCCTGTTACCCGCTAAATTTGTGCAAAGTGAAGTGACAATTATTATATGATTAATTGGATTGTTAAAATCAGTGGTTGAATTAAGAATGATGTCTATTCTCCTACGTGATTTTTAGTGTGTCAATCATGGCCGCCTGAAAAATTTGATTGTCAACATTTCCTTTTGGAAAGAAAATATTACTTAAAAAAATGTACAGGCACTTGTTCAATTTTTAAGTGGTTCTCGAATTATATAAGTCTGTAGACTAAATAAAAACCATGGCAGAATCTAACAACCAAAGGATTCCAAAGTAAGATTTCAATTACCAGATAATTTGTGAAAGTAAACTAAACATTTATTTTCAGAATTATGGTTTTCCGGCCCACTTGGGAGGAATTTAAGGATTTTTCTAATTATATAAAGCACATGGAATCAAAAGGGGCCCATAAAGCTGGTCTAGCAAAGGTAAACAATTCAGTAGTAATGTGGATATATTTTTTTATTGAAACATTGTAGGTGATACCTCCACCAGAATGGGTTCCTCGCAAATCTGGGTATAATGTAGAAGACCTCAATTTGACAATCCCAGCTCCTATATGCCAAGTCGTGACCGGAAAACAGGGATTATATCAACAAATAAACATCCAAAAAAAGTCAATGACCGTACAGCAGTATAAAGAATTGGCAAATTCAGAACGATATGCTACCCCTAGACATTTTGATTACGAAGATCTTGAACGAAAATATTGGAAAAATATAACTTACGTTGCTCCAATCTATGGAGCTGATGTTTCTGGTAGTATAACTGATGACGACGTCCATGTATGAAGCAGAAAATTGAAAAAAAAAAGTTGTTATGAAGGTTTTTTTATATTTTAGGAATGGAATATAAATAGACTGGGAACTATATTAGATTTTGTTAATGAGGATTATGGTATATCAATAGAAGGAGTCAATACTGCTTATTTATACTTTGGAATGTGGAAAACTACATTTGCATGGCATACAGAAGACATGGACCTTTATTCCATCAATTATTTACATTTTGGTGCACCAAAAACTTGGTACTTTTTTAATACTTGAAAAATTCAAATATGTACTAATACTTTTATCATTAGGTATTCAGTTCCTCCAGAACATGGCAGAAGATTAGAAAGGCTTGCTAACGGATTTTTTCCTGGTTCTTATAAGACTTGTCAGGCTTTTTTGAGACATAAAATGACCTTGATTTCTCCACAGATATTAAAACAGTATTCAATTCCTTATAATAAGGTAATGTAGTAACTGCATGTTTTTTTCATTTGTAGTGAACCAAAGTAAAAAATATGAATATTTATTTAATTTTGTTTTATTTTTACAGATAACTCAAGAAGCAGGAGAAATTATGATAACATTTCCTTATGGTTATCATGCAGGTAATCAACTTCCTATTTGAATAATTTTTATTTTACTAGTGTTTTATTTTTTATTTGTTGTTTAATTGAGTATTATGGTTAGAGATGTGTTAATTATTCTTTGTTGAATGAAAAAGAATTTTGAAATTCAAAAAGTATGTATTCTGATTTAACTACTTACTAACTGCACTTTTAACCAACTTTGTACATTAATTTCTTTTCACAAATTGAAGTTATACTGAAGATATTCAGTACCTAATGAATAAATCTCATGTTTATTAACTCATCTTATTATACATATGTAGAATGAAAGTATCGCAGTGTAGATATGCGAAAATATGAAAAGCAAAAGTGATTGAGAACGGTTTTCAAAATTATATTTTTAACTGACATATCTAATAGATATATAACGTCTTTCATTATGAACATATTGCAAAAATCAACTCTGAACACATTTCTTCTAACACCCCTCCTGGATCTTTGATCCCCATAAATTTCAAGTGCTCTATGAATTTGGGAGTCTATAAAAATTGGAACAGTCTTTATGAAGTATGTATTCTGACAAATTTCTTCTCTCAGTTTCTGAAAAAGTATAAATTTCTTTGCTGTTTCAGTGAGTGCGATAAATTCCGATTCTACTGTGCTCAAGGAAACACATCTTTGCTTTTGGCAGCACCCGCTTATTGTTCCACTTCCACTAAACAACTTTCTATCTACTTAATTTCCGCCTTAGTCTGCATATGAATAAGCAGTCGCAATTTTACTTTCTTTTCGATACCCCAATCCATATCTTTTCATCGCATTCAGGTACCTCAAAATATGCTCTATGCCTTTCCAGCGATGGTTGGATAGACATTGATTGAATTGACTGATGAAAGTTGCTGCAAAAGCCAAGTTTAGTCTTGTTTTTGCCAAATATAAAAAACTCGCAATCGCCTTCTGGTAAATTCGTTTCTGTTCCTCGTCAAACAAATTTTAGTGATTGTTTGTGTCACACTTTAGATATTTCTCTCCGACTTATAGCAGTGTGGTGGTTCCTTTGGAATTCATCATAATCATTTCTGTCAATAATTCTATACAAAAACTCTCCCGATCCAGTCTTATTGTCCCGTTTTGTCTCGAGACACGGATTGACCAGACGTGTTTGACTTCCTTCAAATCTTTGATTTTAAACTTTTGTCCAAATAAAAATGTCATTTCATCAATTCTCCATACAAAAAGATATCGTCTATATACGTGGTGATTATTAGTTCTTTTTCAGTTCAATCTCATTTTCTATTGGTAAATCAGGAAATGCTGTCTTCAGCTACTATTAGCTGATGCTCTCTAACAGGTTGGAATTTCCATGCAAATAAATAAGCAGCAGTAATATCGATATGATGGATACTTCAATCTCTTTCCACCGATAATGCAAACAGTAGTCTCATCGTCTTCTTTTGAACCACCGGTGCATACGTTTCATCAAAATCTACGCCTTGTATTTGAGTATTTCGTAATGCTACTAATCTTGCCCGATGTCTTTCCTTTTTCATTGTATTTTGTTTTGAAAACGTATTTCGTCCTTATTATTTTCCAATTTTTGGGATGACTAACAAAATTCCACGTTTCATTTCTTAAAAGGTTTTTGAATTCGTCTATCATAGCCTCTCTCCAGAATTTCTTGTATTTTCCATACAATGCATCTTTCACATGAATCGGATCATTAGATTTTTATTTAATTTGATTACTGTCAGTGTCCGTCAAGTGAGTTGTCACTTGGTTACAAACTATTTCGTCGTATACAGGATTATTCCCTTCGCCAACATAATCATCCATCCAAAGAGGACTTTTAAAAGCTCTTACCGATTTGGTTCTCTTCATATTTTGCGTCAAATTCCTATTGGCAGCACTTCTTTCCTCATTTTCGAGACTTAGGATTTTCATTTGATATTTCACTTTCTGCTGCTATTTGCACTTCTGGATCTACTACTATATCTAAATCTACTACATGACTATCTGTCAGGAAATCATTTTGAATTTGATTATCAAAAAATTGTTTGCTGTTAAATTGGATATTTTTCTCATGTTCAGGAAAAGCGATCTTGCTTTCAGATTTGATGGTAAATTTTCATGGGAAACACATCTTCTTCAAATGTTACGTCACGACTGATGAAAATATGATTGTTTCTTGGATTCCATTAGCAATATGTTTTAGAATTGTAGTCATATCCAGTGAAAATCCAGGCGATACCTTCTGGTGAAAGTTTACTAGTTCGATCTTTATTTTCTACCCAGGCTCTACAACCAAACACTCGCGAATGTAAAATGTTGTGGGAACTTTTTTGCCATTTGTCAGTTGGGCTGACACCAGCGTTTGCAGTTGAATCACATCTATTTCTAACGTAACAAGCAGTTGAAATAGCTTCGTCCCAAAATGCTTCTGATTGAATCAGTATCCACCTAGCTGCTCCAAATAACGTTTGATTCATCCTTGCAGCAACAACGTTCTGGAGTGGAGTTCCTGGTATGGATAATTATTGACTTATTCCACTCCTTTTCAAATGTTCTATAAATGTTTTTAACAGGTATTCTTTCCCATTATCGCTTCGTAGTGATACAATTTTTCTTTCTTGAAAATTCTCTGCGTGTCTTTGGAAACTTCTGAAAACAAGAAAAGTCATCAATGAATGAGAAACAGATATATTAATGTCATAAGAAATACATCTTGTCGACAAACATTTTTCTGCTAAAAAAAATAACTATAAATATTAATAAATTGTTAGGTATATACAGTGTCATCCCCAAAGTATGCACCAAATGGGAAACTTATTTATTTAAAATACAGTAAAACACGTAACATAAGTGGAGCCTTCAAATAATTGATTTTGAGACAAGAGTAAAGTACTCTTATTTTAAAAACTCTCGGGAAATGTTATTTAGAAAAGTTGTTCACCAATTAAAAATACATCTAGATTTGAAATCATGGCCATCTAAGTGAAGTTTTATTTTTTTAAATGGGACTACGAAAAAAAATTGCTAAAACGATAAATAGACAGCATCCTGAATACGATGGTTTATTTTAAAAGTCTGTAATATTACAAGTTAACCACGGTCAATTTTTTTGAAGAGTAAAATAATTTTTGAAGTATTGTAACAAGAACTTGATATTCAGTAATATCAAACTCATTGATTTTCCGGAGATTTTCTTGTCCAAAATAAGTGTTTCATGTTGGCTTTGAAACGTATGTTTGACATTAAGTACGTGACATATTTGTTAAATATTCATTACGTAGTTATTGTTATTGCTTATTTTGTTGATGTTTGATAACAACTACTATTTAAATAATATCAAGATGCTTGGACATGAAAATCTCCAGAAAATCAATGAGTTTGTTCTGAAATACCTATTTTATTTTGATGTTTTGTGATTTGACATTGAATATTGAGTTCTTGTTACAATACTGTATAATTTTGAGTAATTTTCGGTGTTGACAAAAATTACAAATGACTGCACCAAAAACTTCGAAAATTATTTTACTCTTCAAAAAAATTAGCCGTGGTTAACACCAAAGTTGTGTAATTCGTAATATTACAGGCTTTTAAAATAAACCGTCATATACAGAATGCTGTCTATTTATCGTTTTAGCAATTTTTTTTTGTAATCCCATTAAAAAAAATGGGTAAAAAAATAAAACTCCACTTAGATGGCCGTGACTTCAAATAAAGATATATTTTTTAATGCTGAACAACTTTTCTAAATAACATTTCCCGAGATTTTTCAAAATAAGAGTACTTTACTCTTGTCTCAAAATCAAATATTTGAAGGCTCCTCGTATATTACATGTGTTTTACTGTATTTTGTTGGTGCATGTTTAGTTTTAGGGGATGCACAAACTTTTATCAAGATCAACTTTTTGTCGAAAAACCCATAATAAATAAGTTTCCCATATGGTGCATACTTTGGGGATGACCCTGTATATACTTGTACACGCATATATACACAAATGAGCACATACAGAAACAGTATGTTAAAATGTAATCTTGTACATGGGTAAAAATAAAAATTGAGTGAATTTTGTATAAATAAAAAACACTGAGTAGTATCCTTAACATTCTATATATGAATGCGTTATAGGCAGCCATTTTGTGTGATGCTGGATGGTTTGAACTTGCTGGTATGGTGGAGCTTGTTTGTGTAGGTTTCCTGTATATTGCCATTTGAAATTATGTTTTGTTGTGGTTATATCCTTTGGGTATGTACAGGTAGTTAACTTTTGAGTTTTGTTCTTCCTCAATGCTGAACCATAGTTTTTGATTTATTTAGTTAATTTCTTTTTTTATTTGTTCTATTCTTATTTCATTGTTTTGTGATATGTACAGTCCATCGTCAACGTATCTGAACCATTCTCCTTTTTCATCATGTGTTTTTATTATTGTTAAGATTTTCTCATTATGGTTTGCAGGTATATTTCGGATATAATGCTAGATAGCGGGGATATCATCGCTAGTCCATCTGTTTGTTTATAAATTTTCCCTTCAGATTCGTAATAATTTTGATTGAGTATTGTATTTAGACTGTGTTCCATTTGGTTAATGTAGGTTTTGTCTATGTTTTGTCTACATGTGTAGGCTTGTTTTTCGTTGTCTAGGGTTTACGAATGAGAACTTCTCATAATCGATCAAAAAAATGTATTTCATCAACCAACTTGAACGTCAATATTCGCTTGCGATGAAATGTGTGCGTCTTTGTGCAATCAGGCTGCGTTTAATGGCCTTCTCTTTAGATACGTAATACAGGTTCAAAACTAAGTAATTTTTTCAACTTCTCAAATGCTTTTTTTAAATATATCCAAAAATGTATTTTTGTTCCTTCTCCAATAAGTCACTCAAATGTTTAGCAATGAGAGAGTAAAATGAGATAAACTTCCGGAAATAACCTGTCAAACCTAGAAAAGATTGAATTTGTTTGAGTGTAGTTGGCTCTGGATAATTCTTTATTGCCAATGTCTGGAAGATTGCACTCTACCATCTTCAATGATGAAACCCAAAAACTCTACACGCATCTTCAGTAGCTGACATTTCTACTTTTTAATGTCCATTCCATAGTCTTTAGCAACTAGTAAAACTCTTCTTAATCTCTCTACTCCTTCTTCTTTAGTGGAACTCAGTAGTATTATATCATCCATATAGTATATAGCAATATTTTCACTAACAAGCTTTCTGAATATACTGGCTACGAATCTCTGAAATACCGCTGGACTATTACATAATCCAAAAGGATATTTTAGAAATTCATGCTGTCTATTCTGTGTAACGAAAGCAGTGTATTTAATACAGGTTTCTTCTATATCTACATGAAAAAATCCATCCCTTAAATCAATTGTGCTGAAATATTTAGTACTCTGTAACCTATCTGATACATCTTCAATTAAAGGAAGAGGAAATCTGTCTTTAATTATATTTTTATTTAATTTTCGAAAATCTCAACATACTCTAGTGCTGCCATCCTTTATTTCCTTCTTTTTCAAATTGAAACCAGAAAAAGCACGTAATGAACTTCTCGTTTTCCGATTTTCACCAGGCTGACCGTAGGCAATAACGTGTAACGCCTTAATCGCTTTCAACGACCCGCCAGAAATATATTTAGCTATTTTCGGAGTATCACCAAGGTTAGCCATTATAAATATTCTGTATAATGTCAAAAAACAGAACAAAAGTAATAAAGTGAATAATCAGTGGGTATTCAATACTTTCTATAAATTCAGTGAAACAGAAATGAAGTACCTTATACGAATTGAATCACGACTTCAAAATGAATTAGCTTCCGGACTATGAATAGTTAAATTTCAGATCAAGTGAATATTTGACGTTTACAAAAGTCAAAATGAAATATTACAAAATTAGTAATAAAACAACTCGAAAATGCTTCAATTAATTTTAAATCAAACTGTAGTAATCGTCGTACTCGTCTGTCTCCACTTGATGAGGATTAAAGGAAAATATATGCCTCCTACCTTGTCGGATTCCCAATTACCAAGCTAAATGCACTAACTAGTTGGTGTGCTTCAAACCTTCCACTTGCTGTCGATATGATGGTCCTGTCGCCCTCTGTTCTCACAAGATTATAATAACTTTCCTTTCTTCGTCTTTCGTCGTATCGCCGTATCTAACTCGTCTACTGTTGGCTTAGCACACGCACACGCACGCACGCACGCACGCGCGCGCGCGCTCTATAACAATGTAGGTTTTCACGGATGGTGGAATATGATGTGTTGTTTTTCACCTCTCGAAGCGAAGCAGTAACACGTCTTGATAATGCCATCCGAGATGATGGCGAAACGTCGACTTTCGACGTTTCGCCATTTAATGACACGTCATTAAAAACTGAACGAAGCCATCATTTATGCCTTAGAATTTGAAGCTGCTAAAAATACTTCGCGTCAATAAAGAAAAGTTCTAGTGAGGGCCATCAATGAAAAGGAAGACGATGGAACAGATCGATTCATGGTAGGTCTTGAAGAACTCTTTAAGAAATATTTGATGAATGGAACTGCACCCAAGGCAAGTGGGCGGTCTAAATGTCATAACTGCGATAGATAAGGACATTTTAAGGCGGGACTGTCGATCTCGTTGAACATCCAACGAAAGGAGACTGGCGTTCGGGATCACCCGAACTAGAGCGTCAGGGTTCGGAAAACAAAATTCAGTTAGTGTTAGGGGGGTGCATTGGCTGCTGCATCCCAAGCCCCCCAAGTATTCGATTTCCATGATTGGACGCAACAGTAACAGCTTAGTTGTCGACGGATTTCTGAATAATCATCAGTTTCCTTTCACCATCGATACTGGAGCAATGAGGTCTGTAATGAAAGCCGACATTTCCAACAGAAGCAGTTTGAAGAAATTATCAGTAGTACCTGTTCTGGAAACAGCCACTGGAGATAGATTGACAGTCTATGAAGAAGCCAAAGTGAGACTGAGGCTTGGAAAATGCGAAATAGAAACTAAGGTATAACTAGCCAACATCGTCGATGAATTCATTCTGGGACTAGACATCATGTCCCCCTACGGATTTGTGGTGGACATTAGGAACAAACTACTGAAAGTCGGAAGTGGGGAAATTTTGCTTATCGTCCCCTCTCAGCCTTATGATAGCGTCGAGGTGGTTATACTGGAAATTTACAGAATCTCTCCCAACACCGGGAAAATTATTCAAGCTGAAATTGCTGGGCATGCCGGCTTGGGCACAGCATTGATAGAGCCATCCAACAGCTCTGAATCACGAATTATCGTGGCCAGATCCCTCATGAATGCTGACAATCAGACCAACCTTAATAACAGGTCGACTCTCAAGAAAGGGCGAGTAATAGGCTACTGCGAACCGATCGTATATATAAAAAAAGAATTTCGGCAATAACAATTTTGGTAATTTTGAAATTATTAACGTAGCCGAAATAAAAGTATACTACCTACCATATGTACTGGACCTACCAAGTAATAAAAAAACTAACAATTCCATTGGTACCTATCAACAACATTCCGATTACAGTGGAAGATTTGAAAAATCGGATAATTGCTGGTGTAATACAATCAGAAACGATCGTGGTGTTTTTGAAAGAGTTCGAGAGTCGATGAGGAGAAGATTGGATTCTTGCATCTGAGCGGGGGTAGTCATTTTCAACAGTTCTTGTAGATTAAGAAACATTACATGTAATTTTTGGTAATAAATTGTTATTGTCGAAATCCTTTTTGCTCTATATCTTCAAAACAAAGATCCCTATAAAAAATAATCAAAGAATAAAATATCCTTAGAATAATCAAAGAAATAAATAGTCCCTTTAATTGCATGTTTATTAAACATGCAGCAAAAAATTATTTTCACAGTATTTTATAAACCTGTCAAAGTTTTCTTGTATTAGCATAGAATCATTGCAATTAGAGACTGAATGGAATATTTTCAGATCATTTGTGTACATGAGAAAACTAGAAAACTTGCAATATTCTGAAATATTGAGTTTTATGTATTGTGAAACAGAGCATTGGTTTTAAGAAATTTTAGTTTCTTATATTGTCTACCTAATATCATATTCTGTTAAATATTGCAAACATGGTATCCTTCTCACAATATAAAAATAATGTGTATACATTCAACACATTTAAAAAAAAAACATGACAATATTGAAACATATTATTCACTTATCTTAGGTTTCAATCATGGTTTCAATTGTGCCGAATCAACAAATTTTGCTCAAGAACGATGGATTGAGTATGGAAAAAGAGCTTCGCAATGTACCTGTAGCAAAGACATGGTTAAAATTTCCATGGATACCTTTGTAAAAAGGTTTCAACCAGATCGGTAAGAAAGATTCATGTATCAATTGATCTTGAATTGAACTCACTAGCTGAATCTATTTTTTTAGGTATGATATGTGGTTGAGAGGGGAAGATATTGGGCCTCATCCAGAAGAACCAGACAAGAAAGTTGCCGCACCTTTGCCTATGCCTCAAGACATTTTGTGTAACAAAAACAACCCGTCCTTGCCACAAAGCTATTTGGAAGTTCCGAAAAAAGGTCGAATAAAAGGAGGAAAAATGGGATTCAATCAGTACGTACTTTTGCTTTGTATTTACACAGGGGTGTTAAAACTATGACGTCAAAAGAGAATATTGAATTTTGTGCTTCAAAGAGAAGTAATCAGCTCTCTAATCTAAAGGGATGTAGCAAACGTTTTGATCAACAGTGAAAAACTTCGTGTATCCAAGAAAGAGTTGAATTTTCACAGTTCCTAAATAAAAAACTTGACAGAATCCTAATCTTCTATAATGACAAAACAAATTTACTCAATGGGCTAATTTACTCAATGGGCTATCATTCACAGAAATAGAAACTTCCTGTATTAATTATTGAATTTTAACCATATTTAAATGAGCAGTATGTAGCATAAAATATGAGATATATTTGGTAACAGATTGATGAAAAAAAAGTGGCAGTGTAATCTGCAGTTGATAGTCTTGTTGAAATGGATATGACATGTAAACAAACTTTCAAATCAATGTTGGGGTCTGTAAATTCAGAGGACAAAAATCTGGTAGGGAAGACGCATATATGTATTTATATCAATATGGGCCATAAGAGCCTGTGCTAACAAAGTCAAGCCAGATACATATCCCTGTTATTTCATGAAAATTTGACAAATGTTTAAATTAATAGTTTATTATGCATTAATTATGTATTAATAACCATCATGCAATGATGGTTATTAATATTGAAAGTAAGCCAAGGTGCAGGCAGTTTAGTTATTGTGATTCCTCTCATTGGTGCATGTAAACTGAAAAGATATGATATGTTGTCATTGAATGATTCAATCATACTATCTACTTCATCAGTTCGGACTTCCATTGTCTGATTTAATATAAATTTATTTGAAATCTCTAAAAAAAATAAAAAACAGATGGCGCCCAGTCGCCATCTTAAAAGTTTCATCTGTCAATTTCACTTCAAAATAAAGTATTCATGCATTAATTTCGTTATCTAAATTTCAATTTTTTGGAGTTGACTCGGTCAAAAAATAAAAGGGGGGGCATTAAAGAAATGCATTGTATAGATACTGTATAAAAATAAATCTGTATAGATACTAAAATAGTTAACTTTCTAAGATAACTATATTGTATAAAAATTGGGTGTTACCCATTGAATCAATAAATGAATAAACGAACTCTTGCAACGTTGCTGAAGTTCTTGAAAATATCTGAAGAAAAGATACCTGCAAACACAAAAGAAATGGTTACTGAACATTATTTTTGTCAAACTAACCCTAATAATGGATTAAATATTCGTTCAAAAAGAGAAGTATTGGTGTCCTTATTGACCTATCTAATACTGAGCAAGACCAATTGGTGGAACTTTCATGCAGCAGAGTCTGGGAGATTGTTTATTAAGAAAATAACTTACCAAGGTTTTGGCTACTTGCACAAGGTGATGCACCAGAACTTGCCAAAAAAGTTCTCGAACATATTAATCTGTTTTGTACAATATCTTTGTGTGAAAGAACCTTTTCCGAACTGTGCAAAAGCCAGCAAAAAGAAACAGATTGAAGAACATTGAAACCGATTTAAGGTTAAAGCTTTCTGAAATAAATTCCAAAATTTTAGAGATAGTTGAAAGCAAAAAATAGCATCATTGTTCTCACTGAAATAAGTCTACTTATTTCAATATATAGTATAAAGATACTAAAACAAACAGATCATTAATTTTTTTCAAGCCACATAATATAAATTAGTTTTCTTTCAAAATAGTGATTATTAAATTCAAAATAAAAAATGAGGGTAGTTTTAGGGGACTGCATTGATTAAGGGGGTGGGTCCTCGAGTATATGAAGATTGTGAACTCCTTGTCTGGTTCAAATTTAGCGCCTTAGCCCGCTTCGCCATGAGTTACCTTACTAAGTATTCCCTAAATTAATGAAATTTATCATGTATGAGTGAAATGGAAAATGTCGATAAACGGTTTTATTTGTTCAGAAAATATTTTTTTTTTTTTTCAGCATATAAGAAGGTATAAATACTTCATAATAAAATTTTTGAATGAAATTTACAAAAATTAATGATATAACATTTAATTAACTACACTTGTAGTGCTCATCTCATGAGTTGATTCTCGATGATGAAGGTTTATATGCATGTTATATGCATATAAACCTTCCTCTTGAATGACATATCTATTGAAAAAAAAACGCATCAAAATCCGTTGCGTAATTTTAAAGATCAAAGCATTCATAGGGACAGACAGCGGGAAGCGACTTTGTTTTATACTATGTAGTGTTGATATCGAATGTCTTTACAATTAATTTGTATATTGCATTACATATATTTAGAAATTATCTTCAATGTTTCCAAAATTGGAACTAAAACAAGTTATGTTGGAAATGTTTCACACGTCATCGATTAGATTTTATTCCTTGTTATTTATTAACATATTGTGTAAAATTTTTGTTTACATTTGAAATCTTGATATTTGCGAAAAAAAAATTTTTGAAGGTTGTAATGTGAGCAAATTACAAGAAATAGTTGATTTATATTTTAATAAGTTCAAAATTTACACCGTGACTCTGGTAAAGCTTAGAAAAACTAATTCAAGTAAAATTATCTTCTGCAACGAAAATTGAATATGTAGAAAGGTATTGAAACGCCCTTTAGTCAGTCTTCAAAATGGCAACTACAAATTTGGCTACAATCCATTTGACTAAAAAACTTAAAAATATGATAATATTTTCGAATGATTAGATTTCATTTCTCCTTTTGCATACATTCAAAAAATGTTATTGTACTCAAGTTTATGTTAACAATTACAAAAAAAAAATCACTTTATTAACTTCAATTCTTATAGGCAGTGAAATGATCAGAGAAGACAAGTCCGGCCATGACAATTGTAAAATAAAATTAAAGAACAAGCCTTATTTGTAAACAGCGATGATATCTGTCCATAGATGACTCTTCCTAAGGGGAGATGTCATAGCCGTTCACTATCAAGGCGTGTCTGTAAGGACAGTTGAATCCAACATTGCATTCGTGATTCAGCCTAGCATCACTGATAAGACCCATGGTGGATCGAAATATCCCCCTCTGACGTTGGATCACAAATGTTTTGTTTTTGGGCTCTGGTTTGACCTAATTGCCTTGCAGTGAAAGCTGGAACGAAAAACAGAAGACAAATATAGTTTGTTGGTCGATGTGGAAGCTTGGCTTTGCAAATGACCACTTTGAGGATTCTCCTTTATCTTGATATTTGTGGACTGATTCTTCTGTCCCATAGATGTGGTTTAGTGGAAATGTTACAGGAAAACTTGACATGGAGGTTTTGGGTACTAATCTTGCAAATCCTAAAAAACGCTCAGATAGGTAGATTTTTATAGGGAGAGGGACAGTTTTTTTCCCATTTACAGCGTCGTCACTTCAACACCGGATCAGAGGGGTGAACAACCCTTGGAATTTTAATAGGGAATAGGGGGCGAGTCGTACATCGTTTGAAAGATCTTGGAATTCTCTGAACAATGGTGCACATTTTTTTTTAATTCGGACGTATTTAAAAGAGTTCTTTCCGATAATTAACTTTTTCAATATTGTTAATAGCAACAAATTGTTGTACGCCACTGCTCAGTTGGAATGCATTTGGAACTCTTTCATTTGTTTCTTACGCTACTTTTTCTGCAGCATACCTGAAAATTCTAATAAAATACCTGATTTTTTCATTCTATCCCGTTTGGGTTTTGCATTAAACAGGGTTCTACCTGAATTATTATTACTTGTGAAAGCTGTTGAAATTTTGTATTTAGAGAAATAATTTTGAATATTTTCTCAAAGTTTACCTGAATAATTGATGCTACTGTACTTGACTATATTGTGTTCTCGGCAGTATAATTTACTCATAAGTGTTTTGTGAGTTTTACCTCATATTATCTTTTCTATTAGCGACATTGGTACCTGATTGTTCACTGTAATTTGCTTAATTATTTTTATTTCATCTTGGAAATGCTTTTCTGGTAAAGGGATTGCGAAAGCTCTGTGTATCTTTGATCTAAACGCGGATAACTTATGTGAGAGTGGACTGAAAGAGTCAAAAGGGAATTGTACAGTTTGTGAACATGTTTTTCCGGTAGATGTTGAATTGAAAACCATTATTAACTCTTGAAATATTCAAATCTAAGAAGTTTAGCTCCTTGTTTTGTTCGATTTCTACTGTGAACTTAATTTGTCTGTTTGAACCATCAAAACCAACCAGTAAGTCATCAACATATCTGAACCAAAACACAATATGTTTCTGTGAAAGGAGGGTGTTAAGGATGCGGGTGATTTTTAGTGTGCCCATGAAAATGTCTGCCAGAATGGGACTTGATGGTGAGACCTGAGTTTTGCAGGTGAAAATTATTATTATATTTGAAGAAATTTAGTTTCGGACATGTACCAAGAAGATTGCAAAATTCGGTAGTTATATATGGATTTGTATGACTCTTATCTAATATGTATTTCACGAGGGGAAGACATTCGTCTCTTGGGATGTTAGGAAACATGTTTTTACGTCGAACAATACTAGTTTGATATTATTTTTGATATTCAGATTTGATAGTTTGTCAGCTAGGTCTCCTGAATTTTGAACTGTGTTTGCAGGATTGAATTTTGTGAGGTCTCTTGAATCTTGAATTTAAAAATTTAGACAACTTACTGGTTGGGACATCTATATATATGATACCACGGGTCTGGCTGGATGTCCTTCTTTCTAGTTTGTTGGCGTTGTTTGAGATAGCTAGTTCAGCTTGTACCCCTTTGATGTCTTTCATGTTCCTGTTGCCTAGGGGGGGGGGCGAATTTTGGCTCTTTTTCTAGCAATTCCCTTTCTTCATTATTGAAATCGGTATTAGTTAGGTTGACGAATCTTGGGTAGAATGTTTTGTTCTTTCGTCGTTGGCTTTTGTTTATTGAGGAGCACTGATCTCTTATTTTTAAGCTTATCATATTTCTCTTTCGATACTTTACTAGTTTCTTGTTTAATCTTATCCTCCAAACAGTCAAATTCCACATTATGAAGTATATATCTTAACTCTACTTGGACTAATTTCAGGTGAAGTTTTAAGTTGTCTCGTGCTCTATAGATTCCTTTAATTTATTCTTTCAACCATACTTCTTGAATTTTTGGTTGTATCCTGGATGTCGTTACGTTATCGGTGCAGAACTTGAATTTTATGTAGTTGGGTATGATCTTCTTTTTCACACACTCCTTATTAAACATCAAATTTAGAGATACTATAATGTATTTCAGTTGTAGTCCATAATACATTGTCATCAGTGTTGCTCGACTGGCTGATCTATCAGTGGTATTTAGACAAAAGTTTTTTATTCATTTCATTTAAGTGATAATGAATTATCATAAAGTAAACAAGTCATCAATCACACATATTAGAAAATGACCACAATTATCGGGAGGATCTGTTGATAGTTCAACAAGATGGAGCTCCTACGCACTATGCTCTGCCTGTTCGGCAGTATTTAGATCAGACTTTTTCGGATCACCGAATTGGGAGGCGGGGCACTATCGAATGGCCACTACGATCACCAGACCTTTCGCCGTTATATTTTTTTCTGTGGGGTCATTTGAAAAGCAGAATTTACTGTACTCCTGCATCACTCGAAGATTAACGACCACGAATCACAAATGAATGCCAAATCACTCCAGAAATGCTCCACAATGTTCGAGAACGTTTCCAGCAGAATCTCTATTATTGCATGGAAGCTGGAGGTGCCCATTTTGAGCATATATGCTAACATGAGAATAAAGTAAGTAACTTCAACTCTAAATTTAATATGGTTCGTCCAAATTAAAAAAAAAATTACACCGTTGTTTAGAGAAATCCAAGATCTTTCAAATGATGTGCGACTCGCCCCCAGTTCCCTAATAAAATTCCAAAAGTTGTTCACCTCTCTGCTCCGGGGTTGAAGTGACGACACTGTAAATGGGGAAAAAACTGTCCCCCTCCCAATAAAAATCGACCTGTCTGAGCGTTTTTTAGGATTTGCAAGATTAGTACCCAAAACCTCCATGTTAAGTTTTCGATGGCCCACCCTGTATAAAATAACTAGTAATTCTCATTTTATATTTTTGTAGGGGTTTTAATATATCAGAATTCCCAGCTGCATTACAACTGGAATTAATGGAAGAAGACAACATGCCTTTTGGAACAGAAGAACTACCACCTGATGAACAACAATTAGAAGTCCTTGAAGATATTTGGCTCAAAGCTGGAGAAATAGGTAATACTATTATGTTTACATTGGAAAGAACATGTTTGTTGAGTATTTTAAAAATATCCTAATGAAATATTTTTTTTAAATAGTACTTGGTGATTCTTCAAATTTATTTTTCCAGAAGCTGAAGATGCTAGCGTTTGCGATGCAGGTTATAATGTGAAGAAAAGTCGAAAATATTTTCAAAAGAAACGCCAAAAAGAAAAGCTGAAAAACAAAAAGAAAGCAGGCGAGGATCCTGAATGGGCACCAAGGAAAGAGTATGAAAGCATGTCCAACGAACTTACAGGTCTGTATGCCCCTTGTGAGAGAAAAGATAAGAAAGTATGCGGAAAAATTGTGAAACCGATTGAGGAACAGCTATATAAAGAAGAGCTAGTTAAATCAATACTTGCTGAAGAAAAAAGTCTGGTTATGAAACCTAAGAAAAAGCATAAGCACAAGAATAAGCACCATGGCCATAAACATAAGAAACGTAAGTACAATTTGTACGTACAATATCTACTAAAAATATTTGCTACTGAATTCATGGCTTCTTAGTCATTATCAGAGATTGAACTGTCGACTATTATTTGCTAGTAACATCTCTTATGTTGCATAACTTTGTTGAAGTCATATACATTTCAAAAATATATCCCCATATTTCTCAACTAGCAGAATGAAGAGAACATTTTATGTAATAAGTCAATATTCTAATGAAGCACTTTTTCCACAAGCCAGAACTAGAGCACTTTTTCTGTTCTGTCTACCAAGTTAGAATCATCAGAAGATGATAGTTTTAGTCATCTCTGAATGATGCTTGCTTTAGTTCTGGTGTGTATATCAGTTATCAATATTGCAGTATAGATGATAGATACTTTATACATATATGGGAATTCACTTATCGAGGAACAAATACAAATCAAAACACAAGACCTAACATTCAATATACTACACAAAACAATACACATTCCGAGAAACAGTGAACCTAGAGAAAATCCAACACAAAGGATATTAGCTGATGTAACCCAAATACAAGCAAATTTACCCGCAGTACCTGCATTAAGATGTTCTAACCACATAAAAGAACAAACAAGAGGATGAAACGTTCAGTTTGAGTAGAGCCTTGAAGATGATAGCACGGCCAGCTGTCGAAAGCGCTCGCATATAATAAATAGAAGTTATAAAGCTTCAAATCCTTTTTGTGACATATGTTGATATTAAAATATATGTATACAGTTCATTTCTTTAATGTCCCCCCCTTTTATTTTTCGAATTGAATTGAAATTTGGGATAATGAAATTGATGCATGAATACTTTGTTTTGAAGTGAAATTGACAGATGAAACTTTCAAACTGGCGACTATGACACTTCTTTTTTAAGCTCCTGACTAATGGTTCACAACCCTAGAATATAATCTCAATATCTTCAACTACTACAAAATGGCGGAACTTTTAATAATTGCCTGAATATGAGGTAATAAGCTTGAGGTCAGCTCGAAATGGTTGCCTTAACTTCTTGACATATGAACAGCCTATTCGATATTTCACGCCGATCATTTTCGAACACAGTAACGTCAATATCTCTACAAATATGTATTATTCTCTGTTGTATATCCAATATTGAAGCAGGTTCCGTGTCGTACACCTTTTGCGTCAAATATCCCCATAAAGAAAAGTTTAAAGGTGTCAAATCTGGCGAGCGGGCTGGCCATTCTGTAGGACCTCGACGGCCAATTCAATGACCGGGAAAAGTAGTATCCAAATAGTTTCTTACTTGTCTGGAGTAATGTGGTTGTTCTCCATCTTTTTGGAATACAATACCCATATCGAAATCATTAGCAGTCGGTTTGACGATTTCAGTGATTTCCAGCATATTCTAATATAGTTCCTCTGTTGACTTTTGATCAATAAATAGAGGTCCTTTAATATGGTTTCCCAATATTCCTGCCTAAACGGTATTTTTTTTTAGATATTGGGTATGTGTTTTCCGGAAAACGTGAGGGTTGGTGTTACTCCAATAACGTCAATTTTGTCTGAGAACATTGTCGTTTAAAAAAATGTACATTCGTCATCAAAACAAATATTGTGGAGATAGGTAGGATGCCTTGCAATGGTTTCCGTCATGATTTTGCAGAATTCTGTTCTTCGATTAGGGTCATCTTCAGTTAATTGGTATACCATTTAAATTTTGTACGGATGATACCTATTCGTCTTCAAAAGTCTCCATACAGTAGAAGGAGACACCTCACAAACATTCGCGACGGAATAAGAAGACTGTTCAGAATTTACTACCATCTCACCAATTATTTGCACTTGCTGTTCTTCCGGAATGCACGGATGACCTGGGGGCTTTTTGTTATGTACACTACAGGTAGTTGTGAATTTGGATACAAGTTCCCTCATATATTTTCTACAGATAGGACGATTCGAAAAATGTTCATTAAAAATCCTTTCGGTCTCGTGAAAGTTACCGTAAATAAAAATCACTTCAATGTTTTCTTCCAATGGACGATAATTGATCATTTTACAGATTGTTGACCTGGTACCTTTCTACTAGTAAAACTGAAATTTAAATGAAAATATTCTAACTGAAATATGATGTTCATTGTCGTACTGACATTTTTTGTCGTTTTTATAAACAAAAAATAACTTAACAAACCTTATCGGCTTGTTGGATATGCCATATGACAGATAAAAAGGAATATTTCTAGAAATATCCATATTAATGTGTTCGTCTTCAGGAAATTATTAAATGTTCCGCCATTTTGTAGTAGATGAAGATAATGACTTCATATTCTAAGGTTGTGAAGTATTCGTCAGGAGCTTCAAAATGATCTGTTTAAAAAAATCTGTTTAAAATCTGTTTTTCCGTTAATCAGCTGTCGCCCCCATACGAACGACAACTCTCAGAAGTTGAGAAACTTGTGCGAGATAAGGACTAACGAGGTCTTACCTTTTAACGTGTGCTTTCTAACACGGTTGCAGAATCAATCCAGCTTCAACCAGATAAATTCTCTCGAGAAAAATATCTGGTCGAGGCAGGAATCGAACCCGCGGTCTTCCGTGGGTTCACTACCACCGCGGCCAATTCCACAAATGATATATCACAAGACCCCACTTTGCATTTATTTTTTTTTCCCAGATGACGCCCAGTCGTCATCTTGAAAGTTTCATCTGTCAATTTCACTTCAAAATAATGTAGTCATGCATTAATTTCATTATCCCAAATTACATTTTTTTTTACCCGTTCAATAAATGAAAAGGGGGAGACATTAGAGAAATGTACTGTATATATACATACATACATATTTATATATATAGAAACCGATTGAGGAACAGCTA